AATTTAGTATTTTTCTTGTTTTTTGGATGATTGAATGTGCAATGAACTTTGAGTCTCTTATACCAAACTTTTTTACCAAAATTTCTCTGTTCCTTACACATTTAATGCTATTGTAATCACATTTAATTATTAAAATATTGTTTATTAAGTCAAGAACTCTGTTTTGTATAGGTATAAGTTTTTTCATTTTCATCAATTTCAAAAAAGAGCAAATTTTTCCACCTAATTGTTCTCTCTAACTGGTTTATTTTTATTAGTTGTAGATCCATCCATTTATATTACGGTTGATAGTTACTTTAATTTCCTCCTTCATTTCCTGTATGTCAGTTTTTTGATGATTGTTTGCTTCTTGCATTGCCTCTAAAAACCTTTTTATTTACTCCATGTTCTATTTATTACTTATGTTTTATACTTAACTTAAGATTGACCCTTGATTTGATTTGAACTCGAAAAACGCTTCAAAATTTTAGTATAGTTATTATTTTCTAGTAACCTTTGTCGCGAATGATTAATACTGTTTTAAAAAAGTAATGAACTTTTACGTTACTTTAACGTTAGTCAAAAATCCACAACAGCCTTGCGATTCTGTAAGTCACTTTTCGAACTCTCACAGCGGTTTAAACAGCGGCGGTCGCGCTCAAATCAGTCGTTTTATGATTTGGAATTCTGATAAGTAGGGAGCTTGTAGTTTATTCTTTATCAGAATGCCAAATCCAGAATAGTATCAAAAGTCACTTTACTCATTATTACTTTGAAATCACACATTTATAGAAAATATAGACATTACGAAGAAAGTAGATTTGTTTATAGTTTACATTGTCTTTTTTGACGGATTTTGCACTAATCTATATATACGAGTACATTATATCTATATTATCATATATTATCATCACTTTGTATATGACTTAAAAACATATTTCAAATTTATTTCTACAAATAATATTTTAAATTAAATAGAAATACGGAACTTGTGTTGCAACACTCGCAACTGGCACTACCCTCAATTGTTTAGCCTAAGGTATTTCCACATCAAATATACAATCTAGAATAACGCTATGCTAAATCTAATTTAGTGATAAAAACTAACTAACAAAGTAATCGGTCATTAAATACTGTAGCTAAGTCGCACCGATCTTTAAATAAAATTATTAGTAGGTATATATACGATTACAGATAATTTAATGACTGTGGACGCAAACAAATTCAAGTTAATGAAAATAATATTTTACCTTTGTCTAGATTTCTATACACACCTGATGTTTTAGATTTCATAATTATAGGAACAATTTCATATGTTACAAAACAATATCCGTATGAGGCTTTAAAAGAAATACCGTTCTATTTAAGGATGAACACATACATTGATTGGTTGTTATTACATAGTTATTAGTAGATAACATTTCAAGATTATGACCTCAAACCTACAAAGCAATATAAATAATTACTTTGTACCGTACAAACAAAATTACCTCCTAGTACTGGCACTGGTATGTGGCTTGGATCAATAATTATGTCAAGATCCGATCGTAGAATTGACCATTTCCTGGTGAACCATATCATTTATTAATCAAGCGTCTAACGAAATTAAAATATTTCGATCAAAATGCAACTATGATTGCATCAGCAGAGCTATTCAGGACTCCTTTCCGACCCTTTCCTATCTTGGAAAAGTAGGATTCTTTTCAAAAAGATTTTATTTTATACATAACATAATAAAGATATACCTAACTGTAAGGGCTTTGAATTAGTTACATTATTGTTTCTAGCTTTTAGAATCGATGGGCGATTCTAATCACTATTGTAGCTTAGCTGTGTACCTAGAAATAGACAATAAAATTCAGCGAGCACTCTCTACGGTATCTACGATGAGTGATTTCGTGCAAGTTTCCGCGAGATATTTGCCTTCGGAAACAAGTTGCGTATTTGATTGTTGTCGCAATTTCTCCTATAACTAAACATTTTAGGCTTTCACTTACATGATTTTCATCCTTGATCCTATGACTTATGTATAAATTTTTGTTATGAAATAACTTAGCTTTTGATAGGTTTTTGTGGTAATGTATGGTGGTTGTGGGTAGTGTAAACAGGTATTTGTGTAACTCTTCTGTTTGTGTTAAATAGTGTTTCGTTACCAGCTGCAACTAAGCAATGACCACATTTTTGTCCTTAAATTATCTTTAATATCTTGTATAGGTAATATTTCTTTGTTATTTTCTTATATTTTTATCTTCAATTGGTGTAGGTAATTTAGTAGTATATTTTATTTAGAAGCAGTCATAGCCGAAAGCGTAAAAAATTGTGCTGTGCTTTAGTACGCAAGGGTGGAGGGGCTGCATTTCCCGTAGCTGTCCAAAAACCTATTATTATCTATTGTTAGATTAGGTAATATTTTTTTTTACTAACTGTTACCGGCGCGTAGAAGTGGTTGGGGGTTATAACCCTACCCCTACTACTTACCCCACCCCCTCCCACTCGCAACCCCCTATACGGGCGAAGTATTTCTAAATTTTTATCCAAATTTATGAACAATACTTACCCCATCATGTTATTTAATAAGTTAATCAATCTATAAAACTGAAATTTTGAAAAAAACCAAGACGTTGGTACAACCTGTCAAACTTTTTCGAAAACGTTTAAAATGTATGAGAGCACCAGAAAACTTTGTTTAAAATATATCATAAGAATATTTTTATTCAATAATTATATATACTAAATGCTTATTGTTTTATTTATAAGGCTATTTAAATAATTTTTCAGATTTAATTATTATCATAGAATCATAAGAAGCAAGTTTGACAGTTAAATTTCAGAACAAACAAAATTATTTAGGGGGATTTAAATGTCCTGGAGGTTTTTTTAGGAGAAACATTTATTATATAGGACATATTTATTTATTTGCTTAACGGTATTCCTACAGCTACTTACGAGTACTATAAAAATTACACTATAAGTACACAAGCCAAAAACGGAATACACATTTAAATACACACAAAGCACAGTTACACCTATACAAATACAAAAAAAAATATGTAAAGAATATGTATTTATAATAAATTCTAAATTCTAAGATTCATAGTTCATGAGGAATAACTAAGCCATTCTATCTAATAAAGGATACTTGAGTTTTTATATAATTTCTTAAGCATTTTTAGATACTTACATTAAATATATCTATTTGCTGGTAATTTCTGTTATAATCTGTAGGTATACGATACATGACTGAGTTACGTAAATAGTTTGTATTAGACCGAGGAATTTTAAATAGTTGGGTTTGCCTTGTATTGTGTGAAGAAGGGGCGTGAAAAAGAAAAAGCGACAATAAGTCAGGACAGTCAATTAAACCGTTGCAAATAGCATGTAAAAATATAAAAGGTCGTATTGTTTACGTCGACATTCTAATGATTCAATACCAAAGTACTTGCAGGAATCTATATATGTACTAAGTATACTTTCGGAAATCCTTAAAACTTAAGAACTTAAGAAACTTTATTTGAATGTTCTCTATGTGTTATATATAAGATAAGGTACATACTTTATATAAGAAATAATGTTTTTTATTAAATAATGCACGATTCTATAAAATCTATATCAAGCCTAGAAAATAACCAACAAACAAAACCAATGGCTATAACATAACTGGAATATAAAAAAATTACAATACTCGAAGATAGAAGTTTTATACATACATATTACTTGAATGTATTTTTGATGCATATTTGAAATTACGTCTCAAACCGTATACGTACAAAAAACTTGAGGGATTTTTAATCGATTAGGCTGTAGGGATGAGACATTCTGCATAAAAAAATCGATTGTTTTTTTATTAATCGATTGTTTTGATAGATTTTAGGTGAAATTTGATAGATGCTGAGTGTATGCCTTTTTAGTAGCACATTGCAGTATTTTTGTTGTCTTTTTTATTGTATGTAACCTTGTGTTGCTGAATAAATTTATTTTACTTTTAAATTATAGTGTTCAATTGAAACTTGAGTTTTATCACCCTTTCGAATCTCCCTAATAGTTCGAGGTCCGGGTTATAAAGAGCAGACATTATGTCGAGAGGAAGCAGATGAAAAATCGATTATGATTGATTTTCAATGATAAAAATAATCTATTATTAATATTAAAATCGCGTAAAAAAATCGATTTTAATCGATTATTTTTTCACATCCCTATTAGGCTGTTGGCATCACTGTAATTCGTTCGGTCTTGCGGACTCTTGCGATTCCAATTACCAAATTCCAATTAGGGATGATCGATGTTAGAAAAACATCGTTATTGACATCGATGTCATAATCGAAAGCCCAACATCGATGTTCGATATTTATCGAAAACCAAACATCGATGTTGGATAACTTCGATGATTTTTGCATTAATAATTGACACAGAAATAAAATAAGTGAAATTTATTAAGAAACAACAAATTATTACATTGTCCGATATTTTTTATCAACTGACTGAATGAGAAGTTATTTTGATAAAGAAAAACCTTTTAATATTATATTTCTTTGTTGATAGAGACTAGTGAGGAAGTGTGAGAGAAAGAGCGAGCGAGACTACGAAGAACCAACGAAGGGAACGAACTAACCTGGGCAAAGACTGAATCCACGTTCAAATTTTAATAAACCTGATTTGTGGATGCGTTCATAGAAGACATATTATTGTTTCGTAAGTTGCATTGGTCGTGCGGGAGTTAACTGAATCGATATTTTTCGTATAGCAACATCGATGTCAAAACATCGATGTTTTTGCTTTCAACATCGATGATTTTCGAGCATCCCTAATTCCAATACATTTACACTTTACAGTTTACGTTTCAGTTTATACTTTATAGGTCATAACTCATAGTACAAAATTCCGATTTAATTGATGATTCATGATCCTAAACTCGTCGGCATCTCAACTGGATCGTTTTAAGAAAGCTTATGGTAGGCCCCCTGATTACTGAACGGTGAAACACAGTTAAAATTGCTGCTGAGCCATAATTTTAAATCGAGAGTATGAAGAGAGTATTGAAAACTCTAAATGGGGTCCAAAGTAGCTTATTACTTTGGGGTGACCCCTTTAATAAGGATGTAGATGAATGTATTATTTGTGTAACTGGTAATCCTGGGTTAGTCGATTTTTACTCAGAATTTGGTCAAGAACTGCATAAAAACCTAACAATGCCAGTTTGTGTAATCGGTAAGTAGTTCACTAATTTAAAAAATTATATATATTTTAATTAAAAAAGCACCACCCAATGAATTAATTAACGACATTTGATTTGAATCATTACAAAACTTACGGTATTGTTTTAGGACAAGCAGGTCATGAAGAGATTTCAGTTGAAACATCTGAGACTTTAACAAGTGACAGCAATTCTTTTAATCTTAATGGTCAAATTGCACATAAACACGAACTCATATCAAACTACATAAGTAAGAAGAGTAAATTGCATTTAATTGGACATTCCATTGGTTGCTGGCAGATAATAGAGTTAATAGACAGGAATCCTGAACTAGTTTCAAGGGTTTCATCAATTAACTTATTATTTCCTACTTTACAAAAAATGGCAGAAAGTCCAAATGGAAGATTCCTTAATTTGTTCTTAAGAAGAATATATTGTCTACTCTTAATATTTCTTAAGCTGTTAAGAATACTTCCATATTGGATAAATAGGTACTTGATATATTTATACTTGTCATGGCATTCCTTACCACCCCACTACTCTGAACGGATAGCAAAAGTCATAGAGCCCAATGTTATGGAAAAAGTTTTAATTTTAGCTTTTGATGAAATGGATACTGTTACTAATCTAAATAAAGATGCAATTAATAACATAAAACATTTAACAAATGTTATATACAGTAAAACAGATAATTGGGCTCCCTTAGCATACATAAATGATTTAAAAATTTATGAGCCAGAAATATGTTTAATCGAAATGAAAGTCAGTCATGCATTTGTTTTAAAATCCTCAGAGCTTGTTGCTGAGAAGGCTGCAACATTTATCAAAGATAAACGTAAATCAGTTGAGAGTATGGTGACAAATTGAGAGTATGGTGACAAAATGTTGCATCAAGATTGTGCCCAAAAATAAAATTAACTATAGAAGAATAATTAATGAATTTTAGTTATCACACAAATCAAAATTATATTTTAAACCTACTAAGCAGTTTTTCTTATTTTGTATATTTCAAATGGAGACTTTCTTAAATTAAAAAGTCAAATTGTCTACACAAGTGTGCTAAAACATGCAAATACATACAAGATATTTAAACAATGGAAAAAGTAAATAGTAAACAGGGCATGGGCATTGAAATTTTGAGTTAAAATTGAGTTTTTAAAAATTCAAGCATTAAATGAAGTTAGTATTATTTATTTAGATTTAAATTTATAATCCATGAAGGATTCATTTTAAATATTAATTCAAAACTCTTATATTATTAACAAAAAATATAAATTATTATACAAAAAAGGTCATATGGAGGATATATGGAACATATGGGTGTCTTTGATATTCATATAGCACCTATAACGAAAATTTAAGTAACATATATTTACTGACAAAGTAGATAATTAATAAGTTTGGGTTTCATATTATATTTAGCATTTATTGAGATAACAAGTCCAATCTACTGCTCATTAAAGCACATTAGTTGGGAGGAAATTATCAGTCTCCAATTATGATACATGGTGTGATTTAATGTATGAATACAAACATGAATTATTGAATAATGATATATTTTATGTTTATTTAATAAAATGTTATATATAAATGTAAAATACAACTGCACAAAAATTAGGGACTGAAACAAAATTTTTAAACTATTTGGATGATATGTTTTTTACAATATAAAAGCCAATAGCACAATATAAATAATCAGCAATATAGGTTAGTTTATAGCGCCTAAATTATTTTTTTCATAAATTAGTTAACAATGTCAGCATTTGAAATGGAAGCCCACTTTGGGTATAAATATACTGTGTATAAAAATCATATCCAAATTAGTTATTGACAGCATAATAAATCTAATTTGCATTTAATCAATTAATAGATTACAATTTAACATTTAGGTAATTAATGGTATTAAATTTTTTATCACTAAAATGTTAATAATAATAATTGTGCTATTGCTTTAACTTCATTAGAATATAAAAACATTTTATCGTAAAATTTATAACAATACAGTTCTTAATTCATGTTCTGTTATAGTTGTCAAAAATTAATAATAAATTCTCTAGTTACCAAATAGGACTTGCTTCAATGTGCGTTGGATAATAAAAGGTGTAAAGTAACATAGGAACTAGCAATATGTCATTTACAAGAATGTGGTCGTGATTTAATAACTACAAATAATTATATAGTCTACAAATATTATGTTATTAAAATGCTATCAGCAGTTCACATTCAGCCATCAAATTATACACAATCTCCGAATTTCAAGATCATAGCAAAACAATAATATTACAATATACCATAAATGTAACCTCTCTATAATAATATGATACATTACAATTACATTTATAATTTTGAAATCTTAAAAATAGGAATATAAAAATTCGTACTAATAATACTCATACATCGAAAGAGAAACACGCTTAATGAACACGATACAAAACCGAATCACAAGTCACATAGCCATAGGCGTTGTTAGGTCATTAGAGAAAGTCGCTATAACTAAGAACAGTAAAATCAACACGTGGTCTCGAGCAAAGGATCAGCAATGGGGGCGGTGGTGTCCCTCTCGAGAGACGAGCAGATTATCTTTTGAGAGGCTGACTTGAAGAGTCGTCGTGGGCGGCTCTCGTCGTCCGAGAGCGCCCTCGGCGGGGGCGGTCGTGGCGCTAAGCGTGCGGGCGACAGACTTGCGCATGTACAGTCTCCTGCCGCACGCGCCGCCCACCACTCGCAAGCACCACTGCCACACGATTCACACGCCACCGCGGCCGAACGTTCCAGTTTGCCGCGCCGGGCCCGCAACTCGTCACGAGAACCCGTCCGTGATGCCGGGTTCCGTACCCACGGGTCCACGGTGCTGCTCGATTCGAGCGAAGCGCGCGTCGTCGGGCGTCTGCGCCGGGCCGCACTTTTCAAGTCCACTTCGCTCATCTTTCTCCATGGATCGTTGACGACGGTTAAAGCATTAGTTTTAGGGCGAGGATCATCGACGAGAGCGTGCAAGGATGCATCCGGTGACGATCTTTCACTACGAACGACACGTGGATATAGAGCTGTCACTAGATGTGGAGACGGTGGGGGAATACGAGGCGACGGAGAAGGAGCGAGAGAAACGGCGGGAGAGGGTCCAGGAGAAACGTGAGGTCGTTCCGAGTGGGAGCGCGGACGGGCGCCAGGTGATCGGCCCGCTGGTGTTACATCACTGAGGGACCGTAAGTGAATTCGACGACGAACACCCGCAGGCGAATCGATATCTGTCACATTGATACTTATGTTGTGAGCGATTGAACGCGGACTGTTGGCGCTTGCTGCAGATAACTCCTGGTTGTCTATGTTCTTGTCGAGATGTTGAGTGCTCGAAGAACCAATTGTAGATTTTTTGTTGGGGCCGGCCCGGCTGGGCCCGGCCCCGCTAGCTAGAGTAGTCTTTCTGTTGCCGAACTAGATGTCCCAGAGCTAAGAGTGGAAGCGGGATTTAGGTCTTCACCTGTAATCATTTTAGAAACAACATAAGCTATTTCGAAAATTACAGGTTACTAATGTTGTAATGGTACAGTGCCGCTATCATGAAGATTTATAAATTATTAAAAAGCCAGACCGACCCAAACAATGACTTCATTTCAATTGATTGAAATGATAATTTTCATTTCTATACTTTTAGACCTTGGGTTGACATACAATATATATTTTAAAAAAAAACACTAACTCAAAGTAACAATTTTACCTATTTAGGTAGAACAAATAATACAAACTTTAAATTATAAGAATTGTATATTAGTCCATTGAAATGTTACATTTGCTGAACATATGTTAGAGGACGCAATTTTATTTATGGACCATGTAGGAGGGGAGGTCAATACAAGCTTATACCCAAGTTTGTGGGGTTGGCGCCCTTGTCGGCCTCCGTCTTAGAAAAAGGGATGAAAACACGTTTTTGGCTATCTCCTAAACTATCCATCGTACAAATTTGTAAAGACATATTTTGTATCATAAAGCCAAAATTCAAAAGTTATGAATAAAAAAGTGAAAAATTTCCTTTTTTGCTTAATAACTTTTTTTCTTTTGATATTATCAAAAAATAATGTCAGTACAATTTTGTAGAGGATCTCTTTCTGAAGATTTTTCTCTATAATTTTTTTTAAATTTCGTTAATTGGAAACACTGTTACAGCGCTCCAAAGTTGATCGGGTTCGTCAATGCTTATGACAAGCCGGTCAAAACAACATTTTTACTTTATTTTTATGATCTCTCGTTTATTTTAAACAAATTTTTGGAAATTCCAACAATTTTACTTATTTATTACTGACTGTTTTCCTTACTACATTACTTAAAAGAATAACTGTTTCTTACAATAATTTCTAAGAGGAGGAAAATGTACATTTTGGAGAATATTTAGCAGGTAGAAAAGGTCCAAGTTACCGTTTGGGGACAAATGAACATCTGCCTTCTACGACTATTATTATTATTTTATACGTAGCCCTCGAAGATTCAGCTGTTTCTTCTTCCTCACCACAAGGGCCAACCCCACAAACTTGGGTTTAAGGTTGTATTGACCTCCCCTACATGTTCCATAAATAAAATTGCGTCCTCTAACAAATTTTCCGTTTAGCCCTCAAATTGTATCCTATCTATAATAGGATATGATTATTGATAAATAAATTGATACATTTTATGGCAATTGCGAGAAAAACTTAACTTAGGGCCGGTTTTTTGATCCGTAGTTAACTCAACTATTGGTAAAAAATCGTTACTATTAGTTAAATATCAGCAAAATGCGTTTTTTGATCCGTGGTAAGAGCATCCAATGGTAAAATATCTAACCATTAGTCAAAAAAGTTAACTACTCAGTATCGGAGGGTTAAAAAGATGGCCGCTGGTAATTTATATAGTAACAGCTGTTTGTCACAGAAATCAAACTATGATAAATACGTTTATTACTATCTAATGATGAATTTAAACATATTGAGATACTTTAATTAATGAGACGATGAAGAAGACGATAATATTATATGAGAATGTGTTAATGAGTGACCAAAAATATTTAGGCAATGTCATCCGCCATTAGAAACCTGGGATGATGTAGATTTTTGTCACTGTTACCCCCTATCGAAGGGAACAGTGCTCTGGATTGTTACTGAAATTGGGAATGATCTTAAACTGCCAATGAACAAGAGTATATATAGACAGCAGCTCATACAAACCTATTTTGCTTCATTACTAACTACAGAACCGCAGCAGTATATAATTAAGTATATTACTAATTTATTGTGTTTTATTGCCTATAATATTAACTTATAATTATTATAATTAAATAAAATACAAGAACAAGAGTATATATAGACAGCAGCTCATACAAACCTATTTTGCTTCATTACTAGCTACAGAACCGCAGCGGTATATAATTAAGTATATTACTAATTCATTATGTGTTTTATTGCCTATAATATTAACTTCTAATTATCATAAGTTAATATTATAGGCAATAGAATACATAATGAATTAGAGTTAATATTATTTATATATTACTAATAATATTAACTTATAATTATTATAAGCACATACAAGTATGTACTTATACTAAAATCTACAGCTACACATTAGTTAGGGACCTATGATATTCTTTAGGGCTTTTATTACATTTGTGAGTTAGCATCTACCTACTTTATTACAAGAATTTATAAATAAAACATTTGACTTGATTAATAAACTGTTTAATTATAACTTAAATACAAACCATTTTTATTAAAAAAACATTACAAAATTTACATGAAACCCTAAAGTAGCAATTAAATATTTTCTAATTGTTTCTTCTTGCATTTCACCTCAATTTGATGCAACTCTTTTTGCTGCTACATATATTTATTGTGCCTTTCTTCCATCTGCTGCATCACTTTTTGGTGCACCTCCTCTTTATGCAGTATGAATTTTTGGTGGGCCTCTCATTGGTGCAGCAAATGTTTATGATGCTCTTCCTTAGCATAATTGAACAAATCATCCTCTCTTATTTGTCTTTGTTTCAAAAACTCAATTTTTTTTATCCGTGTGGATCATAATCCGCTTCCTTGTTTCCAAAGGGTTAAAAGATTTTTTCCTTTTGTTGTAGGACACAGCTATACAAGAATAAATATAAAAATGTGCCTACACCTTCATTAAATGTATATTAAATTTAACACTTCGGTGTCTAGACCCATCTGAGTTGAAAACGTCACAGAGATTTCCAAGCTGCATCTTTTTGTAGATTGCTGCAGTGATCAGTTGTTTGCAGGTTACGACTGTGTAATCCTTGAGAAGCATCACCAGTTTGGCAGTTTCTTTTTGGCGAAGTTAGCAGTATGGTCCCTTTAACAAAACATAAATGTATTACTTTCTATTACGAAACACAAGATAAACCGGAATAAATAACACGAAAATATGTTTGTACTTACTTATTTGACCGTTGGCTGTTTGCGGACATCGTTATTTATATATTTAAGTATCGTAAAAAGTGTAAACCGTATTAAATCACAAAAAAACAACTTTATTTATATCGTGTTATTTAGATTAATTTGACACTTCAAACTCTTCAAAGCGCAAATAACGAATGAAGATGGCAAAAATGGATTTCATTCACTCAATATGTCTAGTGTTGTCATACAAAATAAATGTTCCCCACAAAAAAGAACCACATTTTTTGGGATGTCATTGCTCATTGCACTGGCAACAAATTGACAAATTGTTAAGTTTAACTATAGTTAAAAAAGGCATTGAAAAACGCATTTACGATTTTACCAATGGTTATTCATTTAACTATAGTTAATGTAACAAATGGTAAAACCATTTTTTACTACGGATCAAAAAACTGCCCTTAGACTATAAAATGTCTAATTCGTTCAGATAGATCTATATTAATTACTGGTCGTTATTAGTTACATAATAAGGTAATAATAATAACGTATAACCGCGAATTAAGCCCTAGATTATTATAGATTGTCTAACAATAGTATTACAAAATACAGAGCTAGATCGCATTAAGGATATATTTTTTTCAGGAACAAAGCGTGGACGAAATGTCGTATTTTTAAACTGTCGTTCCCAAAGAATAAACAACCGCAACTAACAGACGGTACTATATTATTTGTAAGTTAAAAGTAACGCAACTCTAAAAACACGTTTGCGTATACAAACACCAAATAATCGGAACGCTTCCATTGGTACTCCATCTGTCAATGTAATATCTATATGCAAAGTAAGAAAGTATGTATATGGAAACCGATTTAGTTTAAATATCGGTCAAAAATTATACTATGCGATAGCATTATAGTGTAATTTTCATACTATATATTTGTTATGCATACAATATTTTTGAAGTTATACTTTAGGCGCGTTATGAAAAATTTATGAGAGTGAAATTTTACGATGCGCGCGCACCGTGACACAAAATTAGGAGTGTGATTATAGCGTGCGCGAGCGAGATAGGAATAAGACAATCTACAAGTAAAAAGAAATAGAATATGCGTGAAGTTCGTATGCCAAGAATTTTGAATGACCATAATGACATTTGTCATTTACCTTTTAAACAAATAAAGGAGTTTTAATTATTTTTTCAAAGAAATTTAGCAATGCTTTTTGAATTATATATAATCAGAAGTGATTTAAATTGAATATTTAAACCAATACTAATTAATATTTGTGAAAAAACTGTGCTCATCAACCTTCCTAAGTGCTTCATTACAATTGAGGTTAACTATCAGTTTGTATTATTATTATCGAGTAATGTTTTGATTTAAAAAATTACCACATTGTTTAATCAAAACATGTAATTTTTCTCTAGCAAATATAAGGACAAGAGACAAAAAACAATTGATGAATCAGTGTAAGTGCACTAAATTGAATACAAAAAAAGAGTTGTCATCTTATCGCTGTGAAACATCAAAAACTGGAGGTGGAACAAAGCCAAACTATTTTTAATAATGCCAAAGAAGTATAACTTCTTACGCGCGTACATAAGTACACGCACCCTTTTTTTTATATAAAAAAAGTATATAACTAAAGCTAGCTATAGGTACATTGTCTCGTGTTATGACTTGCACGTACACTGTACAGTCCTGTACAGAATGGCGTAAGATATATTCACATTATTGCATTTTCTTGTTCCATTAAAATTACTAATGAGCTATCGCAGACGATGCATTTAAAAGCTAAGTTTATATTTTAATATTTGTCGATGTATATATTTTTATTATTCTTTAATTACCTATTAATACTATAATAGACAATTGAAGAAAAATATGTTTTTGTCTTTTCACAGTTACATTTAGATTTTTAAATTGCCATCGGTTTTATTCATTTACTAAAGTTAAATAAATCATGTTTGGCTAAAATAATATACGTATAATACGTCTCGACTGCTAGGCTAGACGTACAGGGAAGACGCTACTTAGACGAATGATGGACACATACATTCCTATCTTTACACAACACTCCCCTTACCCTCCCATTTTATTCAATAATTTGTTGCTATAAACTTAAGTATAGCACCATCTAGTAGCATGTAGTGTCTGTTATTGATTATGGCTTCACTACAAAATATGCTGATACCAATATCTATTAATGATTTGTATCCAAAATATAAAAATAACAAAATGTTATTTACACCATGATTGAATTTCAAATTGTTCCTTAGATAACATAATTTTATTGATTGCTTCTAAGTGTCGCCATCCCACTATAGCAAGAATTTTTCACATATTTATTTTAATATCAACACTGCTGGTCTATTACTTAAATTGTCTTTGGTACTATTAAATAAACTTAATATTATTGATTAGTACCTTGAATATTATGGCCTGAGGCCGGCAGTCTATGTCAGTTGAGCAATTCCACAGAGACAAATCTCTTCAGTCTTTCTAAATATTGGTTAAACAGTTCTACATCATTATGCCCAGCTCCCTGGAATATAATGAACAATTTAAAAATAGAAGCATTATAGAAGCAGCATAAAAAACATATTACCCATACCTCAACCCATAATGGTTCCACAGCACGAGGGCAGCGCTCATAAATTGCAAGACCATGAGAAAAATCAATCACCTCATCTTCTGTTCCATGAATTACAAGGACTGGAGAGGTTACTTTTGGAATCTTGTCAATACTGAAATATCATATACAAAAAAGTAATAAACTATTCAGGAATATCAAAATTTAATTATACCCTTTTTCTTATAATAAATTAGTATAATACTGGTAACAAAATTTGTAAAATAGAGTTATAAATCCTTGAATGACCATATTTCCATATTATATAATTCTACAAAACAACATACTTTATCAGACCTATCACATTATTTCCACTTAATTATACCTATTAATTTTAATTATTTTGTTTATGAAATAGTAGTTTTTACTTTGTATTACTTTATGAAGTATGAGTATGCATCCAGAAGAAAATAATTGGAAAATAAATAAAATAATTGCTTTTGTTTGAAGTGATAATTCATAATGAAAAATAGGGTAGATACATTTGTGCCCTTTGTATTGATAATTTTTTGAGGTAATTAGGTGCCTACAAACCTACATTAACTTTTCATTTTGAGATGTGTTTAATTTTATTGTTTTGAGTATGTGGTTTAAAAATTTAAAGTATACACAGTTAATTAAGAATTAACATTAATGTACTTATGCATAATTTTACTTCCTTAAAGGTTAATCTTTTGTTCATATTATTGCTTCTTCTTGAATGAATAATGAGTCATTAGAATTTATTTACACAGGTTTTTACCTTGGGAAAGCATCAAAAAACCAGGTCCTCTTAGTGTTAGGAAAGGCAACACGCATACCAGACATTAATGGAGAATGAAGAACTACAGCTCCCACCTCATAACGAGCAGCTAAATCCACTGTTGGCACAGTACCAATACTCTGCCCATATAGTATAATATTTTCCGGGCTGATGCCATAACGAGTACGCAAAGCCTGCCAGGCGGCATCAATATCAGCATACAAGTTTTTTTCTGACGGCTTTCCACCGCTTACACCATACCCAGAGTAGTCATAACTAAATATGTTGCAGTTTATTCTAGTACCTAAACCTAAATAAAAACTACTCATTTGTCCTAGATCCACGGCATTCCCATGCGAAAACAAGATAGTAAACCGAGCATTGGGACTACATCGAACAAAGAGACATGCAATTCGGTTTCCCCTAGTAGTTCTAGAATAAAATCCTTCTATGTTTTCTTTTTCTCGTTCTGAATATTGCCATTCAGCTCTCTCACCGAGAGTCATAGAGAATTTCGATCCAGTTTCATCAGGTGTGAATGCATACGTGGGTTCAGGAGGCAGAAAAGCAAGTTTGGCTGCAATTTTTCCAGGGCATGGCGGACAACAAAACAAGCAACATAGCTCACTAAAACTTAATCCGTTCATTGTGAAAAATTATGTACATGTACGAGTTCCTATGTAAACACTTTATCATTTGGAGACGACAAAACACTAAACTTGAGTCATAACGAAAATAACGAAATTGACTGAATTTGACAGTCTAACAATAAAGATTTCGGTCGACAGCCATTTTAAAACGAACATACGATTTTTTTTTAAACGTGGCCTTGGGGTGGGGCTTATAATCTGAGTTATAGTCCTTTTCACGAAAGAAGTCCCCCAGACGCGGCGCTGCAATCGCATGACGTAATGTTGCCATTTATGAGTAAAAAAATTTACCTATTTTATTTACATTTAGCAGATGTAATTTATCAAATAATACTATTTTCTGCGTACTTCGATGAAACAATATATCTGTTATGTAAAAAGTATATTTTTATTTACTTATATTGCGGTGTTCTACCTACTTACAGGGAAAAGATAAGAAAATAGGGTAAAGAAAAGCAATACAATTGTTTATTCAGAGTTTTATTGCATAATTGTGATCAACGGCCATAGGGACATCACTGTCCGAAGAGTGTATTGAAACAGAATCAGATTCTGTTTCAGTATCACTAGCAGTTGATATAATTATTCGGTCCATCACTTCATCCATAAGGCCGTCATTTTTTAAATATTCCTCCTCTAAATGTTCGACATGCGAGCACTGAGCTGTCCAATCTTCAGCCGTAATAGACTCAAAGGCCTCTTTAGTTAATTTTAATATTTCTTTTGGATCTTGTGCCACGTTCTTATCCGCCACCTTTCTTTTTACAAGGCTCCAGATATTCTCAATCGGGTTGAGGTCACAATGGTAAGGCGGCAACCTTAATACTTCGTGTCCGTGAGCTGTTAATAATTCATCCACTGCAAATATCGGTGGACCTTTATTTTGTTTGATTAGCTCATACAGCACAACTTTTGTCCAGGTGTCTTCAAAATATATACCCTTTTGCCGGAGCCACTCTTGCATACTACTTTTTATATTTGACATAGAAGGGGCTTTGTTTAATTGAGTGCAATGGTAAGGAGCGTTATCCATTACCACAAGCGACCTTTCAGGTAGATTAGGTATTAGTTTTTCCGTCACCCATTTTAAGAAATTTGCTGAGTTCATGTCATCGTGGTAATCTGAGGACTTTGATTGGGATTTGAACATTAATAATGCACCATTTATGAATCCATCTTTTGTTCCCGCATGAGCGATTATCCAGCGACTCCCTGATGATTCTGAGACGAACATTCCTGGCTCCTCCTCACTCTGCCAACAACGTTTTGTATGATAAGTATTGTGTATATAGGTCTCATCTAAGTATACAACTGGTCGTTTTTCCACAGTGCGATTTATTCGTATTTTATTCAAATATCTTGCACGCCATGCGGTAATGTCGTGGCGTTCCATAAGTAGTTTTCGTCTGGATTGACATCGCTTGTACTTGAAACCAATTCTATTTAATATCCTGTGCAATGTTGTGATGCTTCCCTGATAATTGATGTCCTCTCGCAGAGCTGCCCGTAATTTAACCAATGTTGGTAATTCTTTATGTACGACGTAAAAACTGTAAATTTTTTGCCGGATAGCGCACAAATCGAACCCGTCTAAGTCGAACTTTTTCGGATGCGGGCGACTCTTCCCCGGGGTTACAATTTTTTTTGAAGTACACGCCGCTGTTACACCTTCGTTTGTAATTCTTGATACAGTTTTCTCTGACACACCTGCAATTAAATTATGAACAATTAAAAATAATAGTAACTTTAAGTTTATAATGCTTATGTAATATATGTTTTAATTTCAGTTACCTAGTTTCATCACGTTATGTATTTGTTCAATTTTGTCGTAAAAACGAATTTATATTATCATAAAACTCCCATCAATACAGCAAAAAATTATTAAATGGCAACTCTAAAAAGTACCTGTTATGGCGGCAACTCTCTTCCGAACATTGTTTAGTGGTATTAAAACACCTTTATTCTTTTGTTCCGCTTCACAGAACTCTTTCACCTTTAATATCAATTCTCGAGCCGAACTTTTTACAACTTTTGGCATTGTAATCAATATTTAAAATGCACTAAGATAGTTAAAAATTCACAAAAATCTACCACAACAAACGAACTTGATAACATCGACGAATGACAACATTGCCGACCTGTCAAATTTAGTTCCAAAAATATCCGCGGGACTTCTTTCATGAAAAGCACTATACTGTCAGTTTGTAAGCTGTCAACAGTGACAATGTTGGATCACGTATAATTTAATACTGTGTGTATCTAGACATGGGCCACAGAGTACATTATTAGTTTTGCCGTCAAATATCTAGTGGTGCGTTCCACTAAGCGTTCACAACGCTCACGCTCACGACCGCGATTTCCCCATTCCACTTGATTGTGAATGTTACTGTCGTTAACTCAAGTGGAATGGATTATGGAGCGTTTCGGGCGTTCATGTAAATATTACAAATGTCAAGTTTGAAAATAGTAGAATTTTAAGGAGGTTAGGTAATCCTAAACAATAAGTTTTAATATTTGTGACTTAAATTTATTTATGTTAAAAGTGAAGAATAATTGAATATTTTATAAATAATTTTGGTGAAGTTATCAAACAACTTATAATCGAAATGGCTTTGGCGGCAGTTGGATATTATAAAATGTATTTTAAAATATTTGGACTACAAAGTCTTGTCTTTTTAATAAAATTTGTTTCTGTTACTTTAATAATATAAAAGGAATTATAATAAAAGTAATTTTCATGCTTACAAACAAATTTTTTTAATTTAACATTTAAATGCTTATTTGTTGGCTAATTTTTCTAAAACTTGAAGAAATTTCTCATCCATTTTCATTCGCTCTAAGTGTCTTTTTTTTATTTTCTTCATGTTCCTCTTTTTGATGCAATCTTTTTCCCAGTAAAGATGCTATCGACGCCTTACTTGTTTCTAGAATGAAATTGAATTTGTAAGTTAGTTACAATTAAAATTATCTCACATAATCAACCTACTTAGTGAACATCCGCTATCAGATCCCGCTGTACTATCATTATTTTCTGCTTCTTTCAACGACAGACCAGTAGAAGATGCAACTGCAACTGGATTGCACCATGCTTTTTTGCCAAAAATTTCATCCATAATCTACCAAAAGTATATTATAAAAATTAATAATTATAAAAAATATATTTCATGAATAAGAAAATTGTTTATTGGTTTTATAAAATATTAAAGTAAATGTAAGATTTATGAAAATATTGAGTAATTTGTACTAACATCGTAAAACTGCCATATCATGTTTCTATTATTTCCTGACTTATTGTTATGATCCTTAGTAGATTTATATGTTTTTTTAGGCTTCGTATTTTAGAATGACACTGCGGTCCCGTCACATCGTATCCTTTTTTCTTCATATCTTGGGATATTTTATTCCATACTTGTTTTTGAGAAATTTTTCCACTGTTCAGAGTTCCTTCCATAGACCTATATAATTCCAATAATAATAATACGCAGGGTGAGTTCCACCTGTATACTGAAATTTCTCCTGTGCAAAAAAAAATAAATATAATTAAAATTCTCGCATAATATATATGAAATAAAATGATAATAGAATTTCAGATGTTCATTAAACCTTCAAATTCTGGAGTTTCAGAGTTGAGATCGGTTGGATTATCACTATCAAGTCATTCTTCTCCAATAAAACTCTCTGAAGTCTCTTCATCGTATAATTCACTAGATTCTTGATCAACTTCAACAGATGCGGAAGCTTCAGAATTTTGATTAATAATTTTTCTTAACAGCTCAGTTGCAAAAAAGACATCTACAAATAAAATAAATTTACCAAATATATATATTATTAATGATAATAAATATCGTTTACTTATTGAGTTAGGTTATGCTATCCATTATTCAGGAAAAATGTATAAATATTTGTTGAATATAAACTAAAATCATAAACGGTAGCTTCTACTACAATTTCTCTTTCAGAATCATATAATGTTATTTTTCTTGTCGCCATCTTTAAGCTTTGAATATCATATTTCAAAAACAATGTCAAAAATTGCGCCAAATTATTCTCAACGTTCACAACGACCCACCTCTTTAGATGGGTCGTTGTGAGCGTTGCGTGAGCATTAGTCATGACGTCATGAGTGACGTTTTCGCCGTGACCACAACGACCGCAGTCGGTATGTGGAATGGCTAAAGGAGCATTTTGATCGTCGTGAGCGCTTAGTGGAACGCACCATAGGCGTCACGTTTAATATTGGCATGTCCTTCTCCAATCACCGTACACGTAGCCACCGTTCGCAACAAGGGCGCGTTTGTCCTTTGTCACCTATACTTCCTCCGGATTTAACAGTCTGATGTCCCCACAGTCCGTCAGCTTTCGTATCGGCCAATGCCAACAATGGCACTATCTGCGAAAATGAGAAAGCGCTCTACAAAAGAAGCAATCCGCTATATCCAGATCAATAATACCTGATTGAATAGATAACTACCATATTGTTAGTTAAAATTATTCAACCTTAGCAAACTTTTATTGGGTTTTTTCTTGTTTTTAATGTTAATAACATCAGTATCTATAGACATATTATTTTATTATTATAATGGCTATCTATTAAATTTATTAGAATATAAAGCGCTACAATGGGTACATAACTAATGTAAAAAAAACTTACTATTTTTTTTCAAGATCTTCAGGTTTTTGTTTAATAGTAATACTGTGTACTAAATAATGAAGTAATAAAGTGAAAATCTCAAAATCGTTTTGCTGTTTCTTTTCTACCGCCCGATTCAATTACAAAAGTTCAGTGTTTGAATTATTAACGTAAATAGTTCTTGCTGAAAAGAGAGCTACTGCAAAAAAGCTAATTGTGCTGTATAATCATATGTGTTGTGATATCAACATTAACGAGACAGAGACGTACTGTGCTATATTGACGCCTTTGTGTTGTGATATTAACATTATTAATTTAATTATTGTAGTTTAATAAAATTGTTACACATGTACACTCCTTGTTTTATTTCTCTACATGAAATTATTCCTAAAAAATTCTGTACTTGCATACCATTTTAAATTCTCGCGCCATACGATAGCACCGATGGCATTAACTGGATCGCTGGTGTAGGCATTTCTTTACTATGAAGTTGTTGTTCTTCGCTAGAAGTAATAGTGTTCTGTGGATCTCCTTTAGACACAAGGTGGCACGTAAAAAACCGCCTTCACGGGGAAATGCGAGATCCCTTCCATCATACTTCGCTTACTTCAGTGAGCTTCTGTCCTGCCCTTCAAGCGATTACCAACCCCGCGACGGCTCAAAGCAAGGTTCGAGTCTCGCAGGAAAGTAAACACTTTATTCTTGTAAGAATTAAATAATACAGAAAGTTGCAAACAATGAAATACAAGTACTAATTAGGAAATACAAACGAGTAGGTATCGATAATTTCAAAATTTTCGGAACCCTATCAACACGAAATTATCATCGATTTTTCATGCTAAAAAACAATCGATTAATTAAAAAACCGATTTTTAACGAGAATGTCATATGTCACATCTTTTATAACCAATAGAAAAGTAGAAAATGGCGGATTGTTTACAAATTTCAATACATTTCACAAAACTTTAAATTTTACACACAAAACACAGTCACTATTTTATACAATTAACACTCACAGTACCTACTTGGTCTCACTTGTCTTCATATACGCACTTTTATCTCTTGAATGTTATCTCTCGGAATCGCACTAAAAACCTAGTTTTTTTTCAATAAAGTTCAGATTACAATTTGTAGGTAGAGCTTAAAATTTTACATACAAAGGTTTCTTATTTTTTCTTCGGTCAAAATAAACCAAGTAAAAAAAAAATATTGGAGCATGCGCAACACTCATCGTTAAGCATCTATAACAGTAAACGAGTAAGCTTAATAAATTCACTGAATAAATTCAAAACTCTCGTTTAACGTAAATTAATCAACAAAGCTTTTTATAAATTTGACTATTATTTAAAGAATTCTAATCCTTGGAATTGATTTGCTCCAGTTCAAACAATTTGTATGACTCAAAACTTAGCGATTAAAAAGAGTGGTGGAGAGTTACTTGCCAGTTCTTCTTTCCCACTCTACGCCCTTGACTTGCGAACTGGTAGTACCTAAATGTAAATTTAACATCTTTGTTACCTATATGAATATAAAATAACTTATTTTTAGTTTGAGTATAAAGCAAAAAAGTAACAAAGCAATTGTGAGATGGGAAAGAACGCCAAAAGCATCTGATGATGAGTGCCAAGACAGACAATCGAGGAGAGGCTATTGAAGCCTAGACCTACAAAACCGACAAACGACGGACATACCCCAACTTTTTAATTTGTTTGACCTGTAAAATTATTGCAATTGGATAATTATTTAAGTTTGGTATTATATTGGACAACACGAGCCCCGACGCAAAATAGTTCGTCTAGTATGGAAAGTAGTGCAAAGCGTAAAATATAGAAAGTAAATATTGGTAAAATAATTAAGAACGTTTAATAAAAAGCAAACCACAATTTGAGGAACATTTAAAAGTTTATTTTAATTCTTTCATGACTTTAAAATATTCTAAAAAAACATAACGCAAGTATTCGTCTACCACTTAGTTGTGTCGCATTTGCTCTCAATGACAGCTTTAATGCGAAGAGGCATGGTTGCAACCAATACTGCACACTTCTTCTTCCTATCCGGTGCACTCTTGACAGAGCGGTCGTGATCGCTATGAAGTAGTAATAGAAGGACCAGATGTGATGCGCTTCACGACGTTTCGATGCACACTCCTCAGGCGTAATTGACTCCCAGTCAGCCAAAAGTTTAGCCGTTAAGTCGCTCTTCGATCTTGATGGATTTTTACGAAGAACTTTTTTCATTTTCCACCATAGGGTTTCGATCGGCGACAATGTCGGACGACATTGTAGGGATGCTTTTCGCCAGTAGCCACGTCTTTGTTGTCCTTGCAGTATGGCAGGAAGCACCATCCTGTTGAAAAATTAAGGAATCTTGATGTTTAAGTAACGGAATACAGGGCAGTAAATTCTCTTCCAAAAGGTTTTGATACCTTCAGTGCAGTGTCAGTGTTGGCCTAGTGGCTTCAGCGTGCGACTCTCATCCCTGAGGTCGTAGGTTCGATCCCCGGCTGTGCACCAATCTTTATTTCTATGGGCGCATTTAACATTCGCTCGAACGGTGAAGCAAAACATCGTGAAACCGACATGTCTTAGACCCAAAAAGTCGACGGCGTCAGGCACTGAAGGTTGATAACCTACTTGCCTATTAGATTGAAAAATGACCATGAAACAGATTCAGAAATATCTGAGGCCTAGACCTAAAGAGGTTGTAGCGCCACTGATTTATTTTATCCACAAACTGCATACCACCAACACCTTGTGCAGACATGCAGCCCCATATCATAAGAAACGCTGGAGACTTCACTTTGCGTTTGAGACAATCAGTATGAAATGCCTTATTTTTGTTCCGAATCACATTATTCCTTTCATCGCCGACTGTCACTTCAAATTTGGACTCGTTATCAACCTCTTTTCTTTGGTACAGCAGTCAACAGTGGTTTCTCCTTAGCGGTGTAAAATCCGTAACCAATTCTTTTTAGGACTCTTTAGTAAGTATCAACTGTGACGACTTTGTGAATCATGTCCTTCCATTGCATCGTGACTTCTGCAGCTCGAGCACGTCGTTTTATTATTTGTATAGAGCTGAATCATAGATTGAACTGTAGACCTGGGAAGTATCAAGTCTTAAGAGTCAAGTCTAAGATATTTGGTAACTTGATTTGCCAGCATCGACCCCACAAAATATTCGCCATTCTATTATCATCGCCACCAACTATTCGGATTTATAAACACACGGGTTTGCCACGACATACTGTTATTTAAAAACTAATGAATAAAACTGATATTTTCACAATTAGAGGGACTGTTTTGCTTATAACTTCTTCGAATTTAAAACAGGATATGTATAAATTTAAAAAGCTAAAATAGTTTATTGGTTCATAATTAAAAAATGGCATAAGTAACGCGACATGTGATATTAGAACAGCTTAATGAAGTTAGAAAAAATCAAACATAGAAAATTTCACACTAGAGGAACTATTTTGCATCGGGGCTCGTATAAGTAAGAGTAGTACAATAGTAGTGGTAATGGATTCTTTTTAATTTTTTAAAATTACATTGATTATAGTTCCTATATAATTCCTACAGTTCATTTAGGATCATATCCTTAGGAGACCTTTTTAAAATTTTAAGCATATAACTTTATAAACATTGCACCCATTTTCTAAATCTTAAATATTTAAATTAATTATACAGCAGTATTAGTAACAAATACAAATACAGTAGTGGGGTAATTGGCACTGATATGAATTTTGTAAAGGATTTAAACAATTTCATGCAAAAAAAATTTCAACTTAAATTAAATAGAAATCATTGCTTTAAAAGTAGTAACTATAATAATTATATAACAACTATTGAAAATCAAATATATAATTTTGTGTAGAAATACATTGAATTCAATAATGAAATTGTTTCAATAAATTATTTTCTTGTTAAAAAAAATAAAACAAGAAGCAACCATGAAATTACAAAAAGTTGTTAGTACAAAAATGCCATGTCCTCGAATGTTAAAAGTATTAGGTAGGTATCCAGAACTCAAGTGCTGTCTCACAGGTACCAACAGCTAAAACACCACTCATGTATTGCAACTGTAAGAAAAAAATAACCTTTTATTACATAGAATTGTTTTAGCCAGTCATATAACTTATAAGACATACAAACAAAAATAACAGGTTATTAGTGTATGTATTAACAAAAAAATATAGCTTAATCAGTTAAATTCTATCTTAGTACAAATTATCTTGTATTAAGAATATACCTTTGTCACAGAGACAGTGCTTGTCTCAATGGTGCTATACTCTTTAGGTGGATGGCAGTTATATAAAAATTTTATTTGCCCTTGATCTGAACAAACTATAATATTTCCATTACTCTGATAGCATCCAGCTATTTTGTGATTAGGTTCCATCACAGGGGTTGGGCCCCATATTGTATGAGATCTTACAAATGTAAAGTCTTCTGGATTAAATAGATGAAGAAATCCAACAGAATCACCTATGTACATAGCTGTCGAGCTCCAGTTTATACAAACTGGATATTGTTTATCTCGGGATATTTTAATATTGTTTCTCATAATTTTTCCTGCAACTTTATCCCAAATAGCTAATGTTTTGTCTTCACTAATTGATGCAACCATATTTTTGTGTGAACTTAAAGCCAATACAGGGCCTTTGTGAGCCTTGTAAGAACTTATTGGATTACCTCCAGATCGTAAATCAAAAGACAGTACTTTATTTGAATATAGACCAGCCATGACAGTTTTGTCAGATGCCACAACAGATAAAGCAGACATTCCACATCTGAAATTTGTTTAATTCATTAAGAGAGAACTTACTTAGGAAGTGTAAAAACAATTTTTATACAATTACCATTTTTAACTGACTATGATGGTTTTATTTTAAAAGCAATTTGAATAGGACCTAACCACAGTTAAACATTCGGAAAATTCCAATTACGTACTTGAATGTTTCTACACAATTAAAATCTGCAGCCAAGTCCCAGGCTTTCACAGTGTTATCCCATGAAGCTGAATACAAAATAGCAGCACAGTCAGCATTATCAGCTGCAAGATCCCATATCCAACCCACATGGGCATCATGTCTCATCCTTATAGGTTTTAAGTCCGAGTCTTCAGGATTCATCTCTAAAACATTCCATAATGCCAAACTTCGATCTCTTCCACCAGACACACAAACACCCCCTTTCTAGAAATATTATTGTATAAATACTTAACTTGAATTGCATTGAATGTGGTCAAACATAATTAATGAGTTACTTACATTTAAAAGAAGCACTGCATCGACAGATGCATAATGTGCATCCTTAGCAATAATATGTTTTGTTGTATTCTTTACATCACACCATTTCTTTTTTTCACCGTCTAATTCTAGACATAATTCCTCCCAGTCTATTTCAGATTCCTCATATATATGTAAATTAGGTATAGCTGGGAAACAGCCATTCATTTTATTTTGGACCCAATATTTCCAGAGATGATCATCTGCCAATATATCTTCAAATCTCTGACAAACCTTACTGAATGAGTATTTTAGAAAACGTGAATCAAGAAATGAGCATATTTTTAAAATTATCTGTAAACAGATTTTTACTTTAAAGATACAGCTTATTATAATTAAAATATCATTGTTAGAATTATCAAGAAAATAAATATACCTCAACTGGCATATCCGTCAGAGTAGGTTCAGCTGCCTTTAAAATTTCTTCCGTATTTGTGTTGTTAAAACAATCACTTTCTATGTCTATCAATGGGTCTCGCAATGCCTTTAAAATTTCACACATATTGCCTAAATAGCTGTTAAACAATATTTTTATTTATTAATAATTATTAGTTAATTTGTTAATAAGTAAAATATAAGCGAAAATAACTTATAATATACCAAACTCCATTACATGATGTTGCACATTAATAAAGCCTTCTAAATATGGCATTATAAAGTTGTTCAAGGGTACATGACTCAATAATGTTCAAACACTGTATTTTGTTGCCTGGCTGAGCAAACTGTTATCTAAGCTAATTCAAACGAAGAATAAATCGGTAAATAACTAAAATAATATTTATTCCAAATAAGACACAGGCGTAAATATTACAATGTTTGTTATTTAACACAAAAAGTAAAAGCAAAATTTATCTTTATATGACAATTTCATTTCTTAATTTATATTACCTTAGGAGTATTGTGTTACAAGGCAAAAATTACTAGTATCAAATTATTTGTTATTAAATAGGTCATTGAACTAGAATTTTTTTCTAATATCAGAAGGTACGGTACGGTATTATGGTGAATTTACGCTATCACAATACAATATGCATGCTAATTAACTTTACAAAGTCAAGGCGAACCATGCGTCTCGATGCAGCAATTACTAAGTTTCACATTTGCCAATTTTGCAACTGAAAAAGTATCACACTCATTAGAACGAGAAATATCAAAACAATCTAAAACGATTATATATACAAAAGTACTCTTTATACACAGAGTCAATACAGTCGTCAGTCACTCACTACCCCAAATATTACACAGATTAAGAGTTTAACGCGCAAGGTAGGTATAAAAAATACATTACCTGGCGAGTTACCTATTTTTTTTATAATACATTTTCTTATTTACTTTAAAATTGTTCAATGGATTACTATCTAGATTTTTTATTTCTGATTTACTTAAACGACCTCCCATTCTTTGTTCTCTCATTCTTGTTTGCTGACGACACTTCACTTCTATTTAAAGTAAATAGGAAAAACGTATTATTGGACGATGTTAACAGTTCTATCTTTCGTATAGTTAACTGGTTTAATGTTAATAACTTACTGCTTAATGAGAATAAAACAAAATGTATTAGATTTACAACTACTAGCGTAAAGCGGGATATTGGTAACCTGAAAATTAAGGACAGTGAACTAAACTTTGAGGACAAAACTGTTTTTCTAGGCATAACAATAGATAGTAAACTCCAGTGGGGTCCACACATAGAGATCTCTTTCAAATAGACTGAGCTCTGCAGCATATGCAGTAAAGAAAATCATATGTATAGTCCTTTTCATGAAAGAAGTCCTACGGTGATTTTTGGAACTAAATTTGACAGTTCGGCCATGTTGTCGTTCGTCGATGTTATCAAGTTCGCTTTTTGTGGCAGATTTTTATTAGTTTTGACGTGACAACGTCTTATAATTCGATGGAGCCGGCTGCACGCACGAAAAAACATGACTCATGCGGCGTTACCTCGCTCTGAGGCGTTCCATTAAGGCGTGAAGTGCAAGCGAGAGCGTTCCGCGCTCTCGCTTGCACACAAAAATTGAAATAATTGTATTTATGCGTACAAATAAATGTAACTTGATCAATTCAATTGTGATTTCCATTTACTTCCTTCTCTATATCCATACAAAATATCTATCTAACAAATAAAATTAAAATTTTCTTTTGAAGAATGCAACCATTCCATCAGTATTTTCTTATGACGTTGTCACGTTCAACTATCGTCAGTAAACCGACTTTACAGACAACCGATTTTAAGGCAGTTTTTAACTAGCTTAGTGCATCTTAAAGATTGTTTACAATGCCAAAAGTTGTAAAAAGTTCGGTTCGAGAAATAATATTGAAGGCGCAAGAGTTATGTGAAGCGGAACAAAAGAATCAATGTGTTTTAATAACACTAAACAATGTTCGGAAGAGAATCGCCGCCATAACAGGTACATTTTAGAGTTGTCATATAATTCTGTTCAAAAAATTTTTTTATGTATTGATGGGAAATTCATTTTTGCGACAAAATTGAACTAATTCATAACGCGATGAAACTAGGTTACTGAAATTAAAACATATTAAATAAGCATTATAAACTTAAAGTTACTTTTATTTTTAATTGTTCATTATATTATTGCAGGTGTGTCAGAGAAAACTGTAACAAGATTTACAAGAGAAGGTATAACAGCGGCGAGTACTTCGAAAAAAATTGTCACCATTGAAGAATCGCCCGCGTCTGAAAAAGTATCAATATAAAAAAGAATAATTATATCTACGGCTAGTGAAACAGAATCTGATTGTTTCCATCCACTTTTCAGACAGTAATGTTCCTATGGCCGCTGATCACAATTATTTAATAAGACTGAATAAAAAATTGTACCTAATGCTTTTCTTTACCTACTCTATTTTCTCATATTTTCCCTGTAGGTAGAACACCGCTTATATAAGTAAATAAAAATATACTTTTTACATAACCGAAATATTGTTTCATCGAAGCATGCAGAAAATAGTCTTATTTGATAAATTACACATTATGCTAAATATAAAATAGGTATATTTTTTACTCATAAATGGCAACATTATATCGCGCGATTACAGCGCTGCGTCTGGGGGACTTCTTTCATGAAAAGGACTATATGACACGGCTAAAATTGTGTATCATAGCTACTTTTACAGCGTTTTGTCGTACAGTATTCTACTGTGGGGTGCTGCTGCAGAGGTTCAATCCATATTTGTGCCGCAGAAGCGTGCTATTCGGGGTATTTGTTGTGTTTCTCCGAGGGAGTCGGTACGAACTAAGTTTAAGGAATTAAATTTTATGACACTATCTGGTCAATATATTCTTGAAGCCTTGTCGTATGTACGAAAAAATATAAACGATTTTAAAACAAATAGTGACTTTCACCACTATAATACGCGAAACATAATTAATTTGAGTGTACGACCACCCAGGCTGCAGAAGATAATCCCCTCCTTATATGGAAATTGTATTTGTTTTATACAACAAACTCCCAAGCGAAATTCTGACGGCTCATTGGTCTAGTGGTTAGTACCCCTGACTGCGAATCCATGGGTCCCGGGTTCGATTCCAGGCTGAGACAAACATCGATGTGATGAGCATTTGGTGTTTTGCTTAGGTCTTGGGTGTTTTAATATGTATTTATATATCTATCTTTCTATAATATGTATGTATATCCGTTGCCTAGTACCACCAGCTTCACCAGCTTAGCATGGGACTAGGTCAATTGGTGTGAATTGTCCAATGAAAAATAAAAAATAAAAATTAGAGAATTAGGTATCACTAAATAAATTCAAAGCCCTCGCTAAACGTAAGTTAATCAATAAAGCTTTTTATAAATTTCACAAATATTTAAATGATCCTAGTCCTTGGGATTGATTTGCTCCAATTCAAACAATTTGTATGACTCAAAACTTAGCGATTAAAAAGAGTGGCGGAATGTTTCTTGCCAGTTCTTCTTGCCCGCTTGCTACGACCTTGACTTGCGAACTGGTAGTAAATGTAAATTTACAATTAATTTAACTTCTTTTTGACGTTCGTAAGGGTACTTGTTTACCTATATTAATAAAGTAATTTTGAGTTTGAATATATATTCACTATTTATGCATTAGTAGTATTAGAAGACATAAATTATGTAAGTGGTGTTAATAATTGTTTGGAGAGTAAATCGTATCTTGAGTAAGTGCCTAAGTACTCCATTTCCTTCCAATATTGTCTGGTTTTGGTTTGGTGCAGCCACTATCTACCTATCTGCGCCGCGGTCTGTAAACGGTTCTCTCGACCCAAACTAGGCCCGTACCAGCGTGTCCAACGTTGGTCTGTGGCTCTTCCAAGTAAACTGAGCAGCTTACTCACTTTATCGTTAGACTCTCACCTCACTCAGCACCTCCATTTTAGTTGTAAAGCGTTTGTTAGTCGGTCAGTATGTCTTGTCTTGTTATTAATAATTAATTAGGTTATTAGGTATATTGTAATTTTTAGTAGGCATTATTTTAATTCTGTTTCTAACTATATTGGTGTAGGTTCACGTTTGACATCCGCATATGAGACATGGGAGAGGGGTAATGTCGAAAACAACTTTCTTTAGTTTTAAATTATATTTGCCTTTACGAATTTTACAAGAGACGTTGCCGTTTTGTGTCACGCTTTTATGCGAAAGGAAGGGAAATATCGTTATAGTAGGCAAAAGACCCTGCTCGGACCATCCCCTGCCCTGCCCTACTTACCTATTGACTTCTCAGTCGATATTTTGTCGTTGTAGCCGAAATTGGTTATGTAATTCGTCACCGCGCATGTGCCGTATTAAAAAAACGGGTGCGTGTACTTATGTACGGGCGTAAGAAGTTATACTTCGTTGGCATTATTAAAAATAATTTTTGATTGCATGCAAATAATTAATTACAATTAAATAATCAAAGACTGGAAAAGGAGTCATTATAGTCAATAAAGTTCAGTTTATATTTGAAAAATTAAATAAATAAATATACACATAAATTATATTATTATTCGAAAGTTGTTTTGATGTGAAACTTCTATAGCCGCACGCAAAACCGATTTCTGGCGTGGCGACTAGAATGCCATTATAGAATTATAGAATATATAAGCTAGGTGAACCTCGAACCGGGTTCGATTCCCGGTTCGAGGGCAAGTTTTAATTTAATTTAAATTTGTTCTCGGCCTTTGGGAGGGTTGTGCGGTACCGTGCGAGTGCTTAAACCGTACATGGAGGACACGGTCGAAGTTCTAAGGCAACCACGAATTATAAAAATCTTATACTTGACGCTGGCTAATTGCACAAACCGTGCCAGAGCCATAAAAAAAAAGAATTGTATATAGATTATAGACTTCTAGATTGTACTTTGTAGTTTGTACACAGATTGGTTGATCTGTTGGTTTCTAAATATGTTTAATATAATAATAAGGAATTTAATAAATTTCATGCCCGCGCAATGCGCATAACAGAGAACATTCATAAAATTATCAATTGGTTATTGGTAACTAGTTAAAAATTATATATATATATATATATATTGTACAAAGGAACATCTAATTTTAGTAGTAAGTGTGAGGTATTTTTTTTCTCACTAGGTATTTATTATACGAGGTATTTTGGTAAGGACTTAGAATTTACAATTTTTTCAAAGGGTTGTATTACTAATTAAACATGGAAGACGAAATTGATGTCCAGGATGGTGATATTAGTAATAAAATGCAGCTAGAAACAGAATTGACTAGCAAGTTCTTAAGTGGGCAAATGTCATTTGCTGAGTATTCAAGTGAATGGTATAGTGGTGAAGATGAAGATGAAAGTGTAACAAAAAATGAAGAGCCCCTACAATCTGCACCAACTGAGAGAAGACGTCGTAGGCTCACCCGTTTGACGCCAGCTTTAGTTGGACTAATGGGTGAAGCTAATTTACGGTTTGTTAGGGGTGATGTTGAGATGGCAGAAAAGATGTGTCATGAAATAATTAAGCAATTACCTACTGCCTCTGAACCTTATCAAACACTCGCCCAAATTTACGAACATGATGTGGAGAAGTCTTTGCAATTTTCACTATTAGCTGCACATTTATCTCCAACTGATTCCAATGAATGGTTAAGATTAGCTGCTGTATCAAACCAAAAGAATGATCTAAAACAAGAAATGATATGTTATACACAAGCTATTAAAGCTGATCCACATAATTTTGACATCCATATGAAAAGACTAGACTTGTTAGGTAAATTAGAAGAAATGAAGTATCCTCTGAATACATGGATAATTGCACGAGTTAAATGCTATCACAAAATAGTTACATGTCTTCCACCAAATCAAGGTAAAATTATATTGAAATATGCCAGACTTGCTACTACACTTTATCATAATGGAAATGAAAAGGAAAAAGCCTATGCTGTTATGTTAGCTGCTTATAATAAATGCCCTACATTATTTACACTTGAGGATCTTAATATTTTTCTTGAACTTTTAATTTCCCAGAAAGAGTTTCAAAAATGCTTGGATGTATTTGTAGCAAGTGTTGGAGTAGATATAGAGGCTGAAATACAGACAATTAGGAAATCTTCTAATGAAATTGAAGAGCAAACAAACTACATAAAATGTGCCATCCCCAATGATTTAGCAATTGACCTTAAATGTAAGTTATTAGTGGCTTTTATTCATTTAGGTGCTATAGATCTTGTACAGACGTTACTTAATGATTTTTTAACAAATGATGTTGAAAAAGCTGGTGATTTGTATATGGATATTGAAGAAGCATTTTCTGCAGTAGGGTATCATGAAATGGCAATGAAAGTATTGGAACCATTAGTTAATACACCAAACTTTGATCTTGGTGCAGTTTGGTTAAAATATGCTGATTGCCTGTTAAATTTAGGCAGACAAGAGGAGGCAGTCAGTGCTTTTTACAAGGTATTAAAACATGCTCCCCAGCATCCAGAAGCAAGGAGGAAGTTATTCCATATTTTAGAGAAAAAGGAACAAATTGAAGATGCAATTAATGTTCTTCAACAAGATTATAAATATGTTGTAAGCCCCACCCTTTTATATGAACAGTGTAAAGTGTTAAAGAAGTATAATATGATAGCAAAATACTTGGAAGTTGCCGAGTCCTTGTTATGCAGATCTGTTACTAAATACAGACATGAAGAGGAATTAAAGATAGCTTGTAAGCAGAAAGCTGGAGTAGAACAAATTCACGAATTCCGGACTATAAGGGGGGAAAATCCTTTTCATGAAAATGACTTACACTTTGAAGATGAAAACTTCAAAATGTCACCTGTTGAAGAATGGGATCTATTTAAAGAATTACTATCAATATCATTCAATTTAAAGCAATATACTACAATGCAAAGATTATGCTATAGTGCTTTAATTATAAAAAGTTTACAATCTCATAAAAGAGAAATAGAATTCTATGTTTTGCAAGCCTGTCTTTTAAACAAAGATTACATACATGCATTTAGGTTTATAAGAGACATTGCTCAAAGGAGTACAACAAATAGAACATGGAACCTATTAAGTCTGGTGCTTCACGCACTTGAAGATATGACTCATACTAAATATGTAACTAGGCTATTTCAGAAAGAAGAGCGTTGGGTAAAAAATCTTTTTTTGGGTAACAACTATTTATTATCGGGAAGATATCTGATAGCCCTTAAATATTTTTTAGAGTACCATGAACAGTTTAGAGAACCTATCTCTTCATTTTTAATTTCCATAACAATTCTGTCAATGGCAGCTCAAAAAACTTTTGATAAACACCATAACTTAATCCTACAAAGTGTTTCTTATATGCTGACTTATAAGCAGTTAAGAAAATGTGATCAAGAAGTGTATTATAACCTGGGAAGACTTTACCAAATGCTTAATATTAATAACTTAGCCATTGAATATTATCAAAAAGCACTGGCCTGTAAGCCTATAGCGGTGTGCAGCCGACATGGAAATATAGATTTGAAAATGGAAACTGCATATAATCTGTATATATTATATAAGGATCATTCACCAGACATGGCTAGAAAAACTATGCTCCAGCATCTTGTCATTTAAATAAGTGTAAAATGTTATTTGTTATAATATTAAGGTTGCCCTAAGCCAAACCACTCATTAATTCTACAATGTTTATTTTAGGATTTAATATTAAACATGTTAATACCAGCAAATGATGTTTTATTTGGTGATTTATGTACAATCTTAGATTGTCTAAATAAAAAGAAGAAACACAGGCATGAGCAAGATAAAATATTGATAAATTTTGTAAACGAATTTAGGATAAATTCGGGGAAACTTATAACCAAAAAGGTAAGGATAAGTTGACTTTCAAAATAAGCAAATTTGTATAGGGACTGCGTACTTACACTATACAGCAACATTCTAGGGAATTGTATAAAGGCCCAATTCTTACCTTTAACATCACTGCATAAGTAAAGAGTAGACATATTTCCTAAGTAAAGTTGTTACTAACTTCTTTTAACAAGTTCTTTGGATTTTTGTGTTTGAAATATACTGTCAGTCTTTCCAAGTGTTAGTCTCGGCTCATAACTTCGCCAAATTCTTCGTGTTACGTATGCGGTATGCCCCCTTAACAGCCGGCAACTTAGCCAAGTCGTATAAAAAATCATATAAAACAGTTAATATGCAATAAGTATGAAGCACGCAAATATGACTGAGTTTAGCAGATTTAACATAAATAGTTAAAATTTTACTAAAGTGAAAATTGAATTAATATAATGCTTAGGACAGGAGGTAGGGTGTAAGTACATGTCATGCATCATGTTTATATTATTTATTTACTTCCAGAATGCAACATTCTTTCCCATATTAAGACTGTTGTTGCCAGATAAAGATCGTGAGAGGAATCCGTACAATTTAAAGGAAACGAAGCTCGGAGCACTTTTAGTAAAAGTTTTATCACTCAATAAACAGTCACATGATGCCCAAGAACTGCTTAATTTCCGTTCAGTCCAAAACAGTTTCCATGATAGTGATTTTGCCGGAATTGCCTTTTTTGTCTTAAAGAACAGAATACCTCAAAAAATCGGACATCTCACAATAGGTGACGTTAACGCACTACTTGATAAAATAGCAACAATTGTTGAGAATAAGGGACGTGAGTAGTTTTGTGGATTATTTATTATATTTTATACACAGGTACACACTTGTTGCTACCAATTTTCATTGCCCATGCGGCCAAATAAGGGAATTCTCGGGACTCGCGTTTTTACCGCCTTTTTCTCTGATCACTCCAGCGCCTCGTCCATAAGACTGGATATCCTCAGCATGCTCGCCATGTTGAACTGAAAGGCCCTCCTCGCGGGGGAATACAAAGAAAATTATTAAAAGAACATTATTTACTTGGTTTATATGTGGTAAAATGAAAAGGACTGCAAACCTGTAGTCTGAAAATAATTTTATTTGTGAAGCATATGGAAATAATATACTGTGATTTAAAAATGTATTTAAAAAACAATAATGGATAGAAAAGGTTTTCTGGTAATTTTATAAAAATCACTTAACTAATAATAGTTTCATAATAATTATGGTTGAAATTTGGCCATACATAAGCTGAAAAAATAAAAATCACATACAGGTTAAACCTCCTTTTTCTTTGGAGTGGGTTACACTTTCCCTTAACAGTAGCAAATAGAAGCCAACTCGACCAATCTCTGTAAATAGTTTCATAGAAATGTACAATAGAGCCACGGAGGTGTTTATAAGTTTGCAAAAATTTTCACACACAAGATCATCGACATTAGTTACGTAAAAGAATTCTCACGTATACCGTAACGTAACGTTACATATACACAGTTCTACTACCTTTAATTGCAATATAAAATAAATTTTTCGTTCTATATACCTACCTTATAAATATGTTTTAGATATTTTAGACGAGGCCTTTAGCTATGCAATAAAAAAATTAACAGCAGAACAATTAAAATGGTTCCTAAGGATAATTCTGAAGGACTTAAAACTAGCTATGAGTGGACATCGAATTTTGGCGGCATTTCATCCGGACGCACCGGAATTGTATGAAAGTTGCAGTAATTTAAACAAAGTAGGTATCTTAGCGACATTATAAATAAAGTTATTTTATGTATCTAATACTCACTTTTATATTACTTATTTTAAAATGATCGCAAAATATATCTATTTTATACTATGCAGGTATGTGAAGACCTTGGAGATGGAGACACTAGGCCCATAGAGCTAGGCGTGCAAGTTTTTTTCGCAGTCTGTCCCATGCTCTCCGAGAGATTGAATGTCACTCGTATTGCTCAATTGTTGGCTTCAGACAAGATATATCAAGTTGAGGATAAGTTTGATGGCGAACGGTTTCAGGTGTGTATTTTATAGTCTTACCTAACTACGATTGCGTTTTTCAAAAACTTTCTTGTCAGCGAAAAAAAATATTGTTACTTTTTTCGTAAATCAAAGGCGAAATTATTTCTGCAAATTTTTCGATCGTATTGATGATAAGCTTTCTCTTCTGCATTATTTTATTTTCGGTTCGGAATTACTTCAGTGGACAGCTGGTTCCACATAGTGTTGGTGCGCAGCAAAAACTGCCTTAAAAACGCTCAGATGTGGAACGTCGGACTTCGAGAATTGATATGGTTTATTAATAATGATCAAATCATACGGCATCAAGCATCGTTTAACCAAAAACGAAAATAATTTCAGATGCATATGGAAAATGGAATATTTGAATATTTTTCTAGAAAAGGGTTCATGTATTCTAATAACTACGGTAAAACATTTGATTCAAACGGCTTATTGACTCCGCTTTTAAAAGAATGCTTTATATCAAGTGCTACAAGTTTCATAATTGATGGAGAAATGATGGGTTGGCATAAAGAGTATCAATGTTTTGGTTCTAAAGGTAAAAAAAAAAATCTCTTGTTTTTTTACGCTTTTCATAATTTACGAAGAGAAAATTTATTGAAATTTGGGGCTATACCGCACTGTTCGTATGTAAATACGACCACATGAATAAGTAACTTCAATTTATGTAAGAGTTCCCTATGACCAGGACCACATAATTTTAGCATATTGGTCTTATTATTTAGAATAATACCTAAGTCACGATATTTTTTTGCGTTTACTACCTAATATTAAATGAAGAATGTTCGACTTACGGCAAAAGTCCCGGAAAAAAAGCAATTACATACTTCTTTCGCTCCTTTTTATAGGCATGGCGTTTGATGTAAAGAAAATAACTGACAACTCGAGGTTCCGTCCATGCTATTGCGTGTTTGACATTCTCTATTACAATGGCATGACATTGATTGGTCCAGCTGACAAGGGCGGTAAAACTTTGAAAGAAAGACTAGAGATTCTTGATTCTCTGTTTATGGATATACCGGGTGTTATAATGCATAGTAAAAGAGAGATTGTCAAAGATAGGTAAGAAATAAAAAATGCAGATGAAATGCGAGACACATTTGATAATAAGTTATTTGAAATAATTTATCGATAAAAAATTCCGCTGCAGCAGCATATAAGATCAGTGTGCAATAAATAAAAACATATATGTAATAATATAGGCACTACAAAAAAGCCGCCTAAATAATTAAATAGTGGGCGTCAAAGCGATGCCTGCTTGTACGATCTTCCAAACTTTGGTCTAGATGTTTTTTATTAATTTGCACATTAGCTCGCATATAATAATAATATTCTTGTCCAGGCCGACTCGGCCACGGCCTATTTCTATTGACATTAGCCATTAACGCAGAAGATATATTTAAAGTGCAAAAGACAAATGCGCTCTCAAACACAAAACTATCACATGAGGGCATTTCTCATTTGAACTCACTCATTCAAGAGTACCATTGAAATTGTTCTTGGAATAAATGTTAAAATTAATGTTAGGTCCCATCCCGGAATCAAACCATGATTTGCAGTAAAAGAGGCTTACCACAGCTAGTAATAATAATAAAAACAATGTAACAAATTCTTTTTATTATTAAGGACCAACATTTTCAAATTCAAAGTTTCTGTTGACTTGGTAGTATTCGAACGGACGATATTCGAAGTATTTTTTTTTTTCTATTATTTTCAGCGTGGATGTGCTCAACGCTTTGAACAAAGCGATAGAAAACCAAGACGAGGGTATCGTTGTAAAGGACGTCAATTCATATTATATAGCCAATCGTAGGAATGTAGGCTGGTATAAAATTAAACCCGAGGTAATTTCTACTTAATATACTCAATTATTTATTACTCAATTATAACGTTAATTTAACAGTTATAATTGATAGATTTTAACGACAGCTGCTGATTAAATTTTAAACAAACATCGTAGCTTCACCAAGTCAAAAGCTATACTAAATACTAATTACTCGATATGCATCAAATTGCCGGCGCTTCGTCCTTCTCAATCGTAATGTATTCTTAGATCCTTCAGCTATCCAGTTTTAGTGGTAATTTTGGATATATAGGATATATTCGAAACTACAACGCCAAACTGTTTCCCCCGATTTAGTTATCATTAAGTTTTTATTATTGCTCCCTTGTGGTAGGAAATTTAAATTTATTTGCTTCTTTCAGTACACGGAAGGAACAATGACAGATTTAGACCTCGTTGTCATTGGAGCGGATGAAGCAGAGAACAAGAGGCAAGGTCGCGCCAAGAGCTTTCACGTCGCTTGTTTAGATCGCTCCGGTAAGTCCTGTTTTATATAGCAATTTTTAGATATTTTGGGTGCACTACCACGTTTTAAAAGCTGCCATTCTAGGTATTTTGGAACCGTTACAATTTAGGGCCTTTCTAGAATAGAGAGTAACTAAAAGGTCTACCTTAAAAGCTGGCAACAGACTTACAAGTCTCCTGGTGCTGCAGATCCACGGGCGGTGATTAGCACTTGGAGTGATCTGACTGCTCGTTTATAATAAAGTATTAATTTATCATTTATTCAGACACAAAATAAAATAGGATTGATTTTCGAAAACGCTGTCGCATATGAAATATAGATTGAAATAACTAAACATTCTTGTCTACGAAGTAAAGCAACGTGATAGTAATAGATAAGCGATAGACGCTGTGTTTTTTTTCTTTCTTTCAATTTTTTATAAAATAACACTGGCAGCTTATTTTCGAACAGTGTTCAATAGAGTTTGGGTTATGTACCAAAATTTATCAATAATGTATTGTCTCTTAAAGGTCCTTCTATGTTGTATATAGAATATTATTCCTAACAAAGATAATTATTAATTAGCCTTAAGGTAACATATGAAACAATTTTACGAAAAACGTAATGTAAGTATTTGAATAATACAGAGGCTTTAGCGTGCCACTTTCATCCCTGATGTAGTTGGTTCGATAGTTTTCTGTCTATGTGCGCATTTAACACTCGCTTGTATGATGAAGAAAGCGTGGGGCACAAATAGCTAATCTCCGACTTGCCTATTAATTATAAAATATAACGAACAAGATGGATCTGATGCCAAGAAAAACGGTTGTGCCACGGTTATTCTTATTTGGATTTTTTTTTTAAAAGCACTAAAACCCGAACGCTTAGAGCTTTTAAGTTTTAACCTTCAAGTTACACTTGAAAGTGACCACGAGAAGGAACGTAGCTTTTGACAAGCGCTTGAATAATTTCTTAATAATCTTTGAATTACTATTAGTAAAAATATAACTAAGCGGCGCTACAACCTCTTTAGGTCTTGGCCTCAGATTTCTGAATCTGTCTCATGATCATTTTTAAATCTTAAATGCAAGTTGGTCATCAGCCTCCAGTGCCCGACACACGTCGACTTTTTGGGTCTAAGACATGTCGGTTTCCTCACGATGTTTTCCTTCACCGTTCGAGCAAATGTTCAATGCGCACATATAAAGTCCATCGTGCACAGCCGGGGATCGAACCTACGACCTCAGGAATGAGAGTCGCACGCTGAAGGCACTAGGCCAACACTGCTCGAATCATTAGTATAATAGCTTAATATCGTTTAGGTGAGGAGCAGCGGTGGGTATCAGTAGGCCGTGTAGCCTCGGGACTGACGTTTGAAGAGCGAGAGCGACTTTGTGTGCTTTTAGAACAACATTGGAAACCCACTAAAAGAGTACCTCCACCCTCCTCATTGTACTTTAATAAAGATAAACCGGATTTGTGGATCATGCCCGAAGTTTCCATTGTGTTAGAGGTGACACACAATTTCATAATGTTAAATTCGACTAAAAATTTTAACGTTTTAGGTAAACGCATTATAATTAAAAATTGACATATAAACGAGATGAGTATTTAGCCTAGGTAGTTTACCTGAAATGATTAAACTGCATTCCATTTTATTGAGAACGCATTTAGTTGTACATTTCACATTTTCTAAGTTGGTGTTTTTGTAATTCAGATTCAATAAACTTCAATATGTACTTAGTTTTATGCGGACTTTTTTTTTTAGGTTAAAATTTGACGTCCGCTATCTTAATCTTCTGATATATAAAATTCTCTTGTCACAATGTTTGTTCCTATACTCCTCTGAAACGGCTCGACCGATTCTTTTGAATTTTTTTATGCAAATTCAGTTAGTCGGAGAATCGGCTACTATCTTTCAAACCCCTGAGTTATAAGGGGTGTCCACCCAAAAAAAAGTTTATATTTTTTTATGATACAGCATACAGAAATACATACAACCCCTAAATTTCATCCCTCTACCATCAATTCCTATTGTTTTTATTGAACTAAAAAAATGTTTCATAGAAATAATATAAGTACATGGCAAAACAACGTTTGCCATGTCGGCTAGACCTCTAACAAAAATGTTAAATCTTCACAATTTTTTAGTTTAGTAGTTTTAAAAGGATAATTTATATTTCTACTAGTGGACCCCACAGACGTTGTCCTGCATGATATTTAAAGCGATTAGGATATTAAGCAAAGTATGAAAGTACCGACTGCAGTGCCATCTGCCGGGCTGATTTGTGAATCTAAACCATTCCCAGATCCCCTTGAACACACACAAAAAATTTCACCAAAATCGGTCCAGTCGTTTGAGAGGAGTTCAGTCACATACACACGCACAGAAGAAATATATATATTAAGATTATCCGCAGTTCGTTACCATATCTCTACAGATATGTTAGCGAACATAATATCTAAATATGTTTTGAGTTTTTAACATTTTAATCGTTTATAATATATTTTCTTTGCTAAGGTAAGGGCCACGGAACTAGTTCGCAGCACTAGTTCAGGCACGGAGTATACGTTGCGTTTCCCACGGGTCATGAAAATCCGCGGTGAAAAACCAGTGCTGGACGTTCTCACATTAGAGGAGTTCCAGAAACTTGTAGCGGTAATGCATTTGGAAATCGTATTTTCTTATATCTCATATTAATCAGCAGGGCGTATCTGATAATTGGGAAATTTGAGCATGATCTATTTAGGCTTCCAAGCCAGTCTGTTAAATTTGTTCAGTGTATGTACCTATACACAAATTTGTTGGAAAAAATATATAATCTATCAGGAAACAGTCGAACTTCGGCAACAGTCCCAAGATAAATCAAAATTGGTACATGTTACTTTTTGAGATATGGTAATATATGGAATTACTATATAATAAAGGTTATTAGTCATTAATTTTTCTGAATTTCTTTTATCTTATCGGGTACGTCCTACTGGTATTCAGTAAGTATATATAATAAACACCTAACTATTTTTGAACCGAAAAAAATTGGATATTTTTTTTGTATAGTATAGTTGCGTTAAATTGCAGTGTAATTTATTTAATAGTAGTTTAGTATCTTTCAGGTTAGGGAGCGTTCAAGTGTTGTTGTTATTACGTAACGAATTTTGGGAGGGGGGGTCCTTTTGTAAAACGTTACGATGCGGGGCGGGGATTGAATTACGCGTTATTGTTAATATTATTTTCTACTTACACCACAAATAGTAACTAAAGTGTCACTAGGTGGTCACGAAACGTTTTACTAGACTTGGATACAGTACTGTACTTGGGTACTGAAAAACGTTACGGCGAGTTCATGGGGGGGTCAATAATCTCCAAAAAATTGCGTTATACAATACTTGAACGGTCCCTTAGGTGAAATGTTAATTTTACTCTAGGAGAGAAATGCAGTTGTAAAATTAAGTACGAAGAGAATAAGCGAAAATCAGATTGACGAAGTCGTAATTAAAGCACGTAAAACGCGAACACAAAAAATTATACAAGTCGCTGAAAAGTTTCGCAGTAAACCAATTGGTAGCGTTAATGTCGTTTCAAAAGCGTTGGATGGCAGGGAAATATGCATTCTCTCTGATGACGAGGATTTTAAGAAGATCGACCTGATTAAAATTGTGGAGTCACACGGCGGAAAGCATGTTGAAAATCCGGGTGAGTGCTATTAATTCTCTTCTTTTTTTTATAGTTTATATTTTTTGTAAGGCTGTGTAAAGTACTCATTTTCTTTCTGTGTTTTATTACGTATATATGTATCTCATCATCATATATGCATTTGACGCTCGCTCGTATGGCGAAGGAAAACAGCGTCAAGAAATCGGCATGCTATACCCAAAAGTCGACAGCGTGTGCCAGGCACGGAAGGCTGATCACCTACTTGCCTGTTAGAAAAATGAAATGATCGCGAAACAGATAAATGCGACTGGTTTTTATTGATTTACTTAGCTAATGATAATTAATCAGTTATTCATCAGGTCCGAAAACTTGGTGTTGCGTCGTAGGAACATTAACATTCCGGGTTCGCAAGTTGATAGAAACGGAAAAATTCGATATAATCAGTACATCGTGGTTGCGATCTCTTCCCGAATCAGAAGAACCATGTTCCCTCTCACCATTAGACATGTTGTCAAGTAGACATTTAACTAGAATGAAGCTTAGTCTTGATTATGATGAATTTGGAGACAACTATAGAGACGAAATAGAAGAAGAAACGTTGAAGAAATGTTTGAAGAAAATGGACAATGCGGTAAGCTAATATTGAGTTAATCTTGTTAAACTAGTGAAAGCAGAGACCAGAGCTGTGGCCTAGTAATTTCGGCGAAGGAATCTCATCCCTGAGGTTGTAGGTTCGATCACCAGCTGCACCAATGGACTTTCTATATGCGCATTTGACACTCCCCCGTACGACGAAGGAAAATATCGTGATCGAGAAACCGGCATGGCATAGACCCAATAAGTTAACATGTGTCAGACACAAAAGACTGATCACCTACTTGAGTACATTATTATATTCATAGAATTCATTCACCTATTATAAAAAAACAAATCACGAAACAGATATAAAAGATTTCGGGGATTTAATCATCACAATTGCGTCGGTAATATTTCAAGTATAGTATAAAAAGGTTCTAACCGCCGACGACTTTTATTCAAATAGGCATATAATACAACACAACAACTCGACTTAGGTTAAGAAAAGAGCGTACCATTGCTTAAAAGACTGCCAATATGAGTGTCTGTTGCCGGAGGTGGCGAGCCTTCTGCCTGTCCCATATAAAACATATGTGCATTGACACATAACTTAGTTCTATAAATTAAAACAAAATAATATGTGGCTACATTTAGAAATATAAATCTTATCGCCCATGTTTTTTTTTATAAAATTTTATCTCCTCCACTCCACTTATGCACTGATCATAATCTTAAGGTCGTGCGTTTGAACCCCGTAGATAGAAATAGTGCAAATGTCTGGACAATTATACAACAGAATCAGAAATGACATCTCCTGTCCTTATGGTACAAATTTCATGAAAGTGATTGGGGCAATTTATAAATGAATGGTTAAATGATCAACGGAGTTTTGCTTTTAGCGATATTTTTTGCTACCGGAATTGATATGTGTCTGTATCTTTATATTATATATATTTAATATGTCAATGTATAATATTTTTTTCAGCATCCCATATACCTCACAACATCTGAAATGTTATACATTGACGAACAGTTATTTGGCGAACAAAACCCGTTCTCTTTCTTACGGAAATGTGCAATACATTTTGTCGAATATTCAATACATTCTACATTAGCAAAAATGTATGGCGCTACAATCTGTGATATTAACGAGAATCCTACTCATATCGTAGTTCGTAGAGGGGAAAAAAATGATTTTGCTCACCTTTGTTCCAAAATTGTTTATGAAGACTGGCTGGATAAGTGCTTTGAAGAAAAGACATTTATTACTGAAAGCGAATTCATAGTCAACTAGAGGGACATTTATTATCTATAGTCAATATTATTGATTTGTAAAATGAAGAGCTGATATGGCTGGTTTCCTACGCTGGATGCCCCACTTGGGGACATAGGATTTTGTGGCGACAAGTGATTAAATAAAATATTCGTAAAAAGTTTGTCATTTATATATTTCCACATACATTGTTTTTAAGTAATTTCTTAATCAGGATTATGATTTAATTTGTTCTACAGTATGAACGGACCCATTCAATAGTCAGCTACTAAAGATTATACGGGATTTGTTTATTATTGTTCAACGACAGTACCTACATATTTAACTTTTATAATTTGTCAGCTAGTAAGTGTAAAACTATGTAGGTACAACATAATTTTAGCATGAGAAATAGTACCTATAAATTTATTGTATCAATAGTTATAGTAGGTACGCCTGCGTTAAACGCTTTAATCAAATGCAATGGTTCGTAAAATGAAAGCAAAATGCCCGTAAAGAAAACCGATACGTTAACAGAGTGATCATTGTTTAACTATTCCAACGATGCGGTCCATCAGCTCACGATTAAAGCCACAATAACATCTTGTTTCAAACCTCGTTTATATTTAGTACCAAATAGGTAGTGCATTTATAACAATCCCTGTCTTTAAGAAACAATAAACCGGTAGTAAGTATCTAGGTATAAACATGTTTTTTAGTTAGTGTGCCACCTTACCTTAACTAATTATTGTTTCGCCAGAATCGAACTCTGGATCTTTAGGCTACACGCGTGTGTACTTATATAAAAAATACACTCCAAACTTCACCTAAGTGAAGACACTTAAAACTCTGTACTTTGCCTATGTTAGATCTAACGTAGAGTATTTCTTTTGAATTAGTATTTTAAGAAGCCAATTACCTAATTTAAAAAATATGCACAGAACGAGAACTAGATGATTCATTTGTTTCTACTATTTTAATTAAAGAGACAAGACAAATAATAATAACGAAACACATCTTGGACAGTGGCTATTCCAAGTGAAATATGAGATCTAATTGGATATCGTCTCCCGAGATGGCGTATTATTTTCATCATGATACTATTTGAAATAAAATCATTTCTATCTTAATAATAGTTGATATATTACGTAACTTTTATTTAAATTAAATAAATGTACATAAAGCAAATACATTAGTAGTTTAGGGAAAGTTTTTGAACTTTATAATATGTAACTTTTAAAGGTAACAAAGTAAAACTATCACAATAATAACATTTTTATAAAAATAAAAGCACGATTTTAAAATCCAAAGCGCTGTTTATTGAATCAAAATATCAGCTAGAAAGGAACGTCACGTGACAAGTTCTTATTCACTATACCAGTTGTGTTTATTTTTTGCTACTATTATACACAGCTGTCGTGATCTTTAGAAACAAACAACAAATCATAAATGTATCACTTTTCAAATAGTGGTAGATATACAAAGTTCTACAGTTATCCGCCCATCTGTTTATTGGCCAATAGTATAAAAGTTGGGCGGAGCTTGCCAAGATCTAAACATAAATCAGGATATTTCAGCTATCAATCTTTGAAAAGAAGTTTCAGAGTAACATCGTTTGCCCGGTAGAAATAGCGACTGTTTTTTTTAAATATATCGGAATCAAAGTGGAACTATAATGTAGAAGCGAGAAGTTAGAGGTTATTTTGCCTGAATTACTAATGGAATGACTTTATCATCATGTCAAGTGAAAACCGTGAAGAAGTGATAACACGGAGAGCTCTGCGGACTCCAAAGTGCGCTCGCTGCAGGAACCATGGAGTGATTTCCTGTCTGAAGGGACATAAACGTTTGTGCCGCTGGCGTGACTGTCGATGTCCAGGATGTCTTCTGGTTTTAGAAAGACAACGGGTTATGGCTGCCCAGGTGTGTATGTATACCTACCATAGGAAGAATTCCTAGTCCAGTATTTAACTGTCCATCTGGGACTGTAAAATAAGACTTAACTATCAATTCATTTTAACTCTCAGTTCTTAAATCAATCAATACCTACTCAAAATTTAACTGCCTTTTCTTAATTCAAGTATTACACAAACAGTAAGAACAATGACGCAAACATAGTACCTAGTGAGTGAATAGCAAGCATAGCAAGAATTGAGGTATGGCAATTATTTAGGGTTAGATACAGAAGCTAAATGTTCTGTATTCCTTGAGGTACTAGTTCTAAAATAAAATTATACGTACATGCGGCTCGCTTATCCGCTACTTTTAATAACCCTTTAAATAGGCTATCATATTTAACAAACAAACAAACAAAAGGTCATTTAATCATTTAGGTACAATTTGTACACTTATGCATGTCAACTTCCTCATCTTACAGCGTCACTAGTGCCCACACATTGTCATCGTCTAAGAATTCCCGAACAGTGTAATATCCTCCCTTTGTTAGGGTTTTCTTGATGCAAAACTCATGTATCGGAAGTTTGGTTACACGGTCCGGAATCTTGTTAAATATCTGTATACATTTCCCCATAAATGAGTGAGCAGTTTTATGAAGTCTGAAAGCTGGAAAGTCTATTCCTACTTCTTGTGTTTAAATTGTGACAGTCACTGCGCTTTATAAATTTATTAATGTTTTTATAAACGTACATAATATTTTCGTATACATATTGGGAGGCAACTGTTAAAATACTAATCTCTTTAAATAATTCTCTTAGCGAGTCACGCGGTTTTAATTTGTAGATATATAGCGCGTATTGCTCTTTTTTGTAAAACAAAAATATCTTGAATATCGGCCGCTGAGCCCCACAACAATATACCATAATTATTTATAACTTTTATAACAGTCTTCCTATTTATCGTAATCTTGTTCATTAATGAGATTTAAGTTTTTATTGTAATTTAGTTTTAATATTGCATTATTCACTGTTTACCTATATTTAAGTTTCATTCTAAATCTATTAATTTCGTAATTTTTCATTTGTCACGACGATCTAGAAAAGTCCATGATTAAGTTTAAGTCGGACGTCATTGCTACAATTTACGATGAAAATACTCAAATCTGACGCTTCATTATTATAAGTTTTGTCAGCCCGTAGAATCTATCATCATGCTAGCAGTAAAACAGGTGTCTCAAAAGAAAGTTTACATTTATGCTTTATTTACGCTAGATAGTGCTTTAAATGTGCATAGATCTTCATTACACCGCATTTTACCTAAAGACCTAAAGCTGCACCCCTATAAAATCAATTGGTGCAAGAATTAAAGCCCCAACATGCCAGTCAGAGGCTTGACTTCGTAAATCAAGTAACTGAGTGCTTTTCAACGTTTACCAACATCTTGTTTTCGGATGAAGCTCATTTTCATCTTGAGGGACACGTAAATAAGTAGAATTGCCGCTACTGGAGTGCAAGCATCAGAGACCCCTTCATTAGCCTATAGTGACTGTATGGGCTGCGATGTCAGCGCTAGGAATTATCGGCCCTTTCTTTTTTGAAGTCGAAAAGGGGTGCACAGTTATAGTCAATTTAGAGCGTTATGTGAAAATGTTTGACTTCTTGGTGCCTGAACTTCAAAACTTTCCTATAACCAACTTACTTTTTTTTAAATCGATCAACTAAATATGAACTTTCTATTGAGACACCTTGTAGTAAAGCTAGATTGCACCTTATATGGACTGAATATGTGTACAAGGTACAAATACAGTGTGTGAAAATACAGTAGTTTGTTGCGTTAAATATTATGTTAAAGTAACTTTACTAATGGAATGAATTCAGAACTAAATAATAATTACCTATTACTGTCATTATATCTCTCCGCCTTATTTAAAATAAATAAGTATTCTAATATATAGTTATCCAATTAATGACCATAGGTGGCTCTACGCCGGCAGCAAAGCGCAGGACGCACGGCTCGCGAGGGTGAAGCGGCCGCGCTGGCGGCGCGAAAGAGAGCTTATCGAGCTCGTCTACGTTGCGTACAAATGTCTCGCAACTTTCCCGTGCACCATACAAACCTAGGTAAGAGATACGCGCACATATCGTCACAAACTACTAACGCCATTTCATCAAACTTTGCATGTAAATGAACTAATGTATGTGCGTGACTTTTAAATATATGTATATCTTAAGTCTTGGCCTCAGATTTCTGTGTCCGTATCGTGATAATTTTTATTTTATATAGGTCAACCTTTTGTCTGACATAAGCGAGTGTTAAATGCTATAAAAAGTTCCTGGGTAAAAAATCCCACGCGCAGGCCAATAGGCTTCTTTATTAAATCCAGGATTTTGATTCGATTACACGATGAAACAAATATCGTTCTCACATCAAAATAAACAGTGAAATAACAGCCAATTTATTTATAACAGTTTTTTTAATAATCAATTTTAAGTAGTTAATATTCACACTAAGGCCTTTTGTACCCTAGGTATCACATTTTTCTCGTAATTTATTTGAAAGCTTTATAAATAAAGTAAGAGAACATAATTATAAATTACTAGCTGATGCCCGCGACTGCGTCTGCGCAGGATTAAAATAATATTTGTCCAAACGATGTAGCGTGAAATACATATTTTATCTACTTTAAATACCAGAAGCGATAAAAGTATCTATTTTTATTTAGGAATCAATTTATTTGTCAATTTGTTTGTTTATCAATTTTTATTGTAGTTATGGTTCACTATTTTGTCTACAATGGCTTACACATGAGATATAGATATATAGTGTAGCGGGCTTTTTTGTAGGAATATTTAAGAAAACATTTCCATCATACATTACATACTTGTATAACACTAGTGGTTTTGGCAGCGCACGCAAGAATAGCTCGCAGATGGTAGATTTTTTGCTACTTGATATTTTGAACAATTAACACAATATCTTTATAAATAATATAGTGCAGCGTATCTAGATATGTGTTATTCTGATGTACCTATAAGCTATAACATTTTTGTAGTTTAAAATTTTAAAATCCATTCAGTAGTTTTTACGTGAAGGTGTAACAAACCTTCCATACTTACAAACTTTCGCGTTTATAATATAAGTATGATTAAAATTACCTAGTACTTTGTTTTGTTCCAAATGTAAAGTGGTTAATAATAGAAAATGTGTCGTATAAGCTGTCAGCCACTCAGTCTTTGTTATTGTTGTAAGCGAGTCGACACTGTCGTCTGTTTCGTTTCTCACAAATGAAACGAACAATGCGAATTAGCTGAATAAATATTTTGTTTGGAACATTAACTAAAGTTGTGTATTTAGACCCATTTATTAAAACAAAAACCGATTTACATTGTTTTGGCAGTGTGACTGAGAAGTTGTAAACAAGTGGGGACATAGTAAAAATTATTTAAAAATAAATTAAAACTTACGAAGTGATGTTAGTAAGTGTGGTAACCTCTGAACACTCAGTAATTTGCCGCGATGTAAAAAGATACTCTTCAGACAATTAAAAATAGGCACTTCGCGTAATAAAAACTCAAACGACCCGTCCCATGTCCCCTTCATTAAAGAACAAAAGCTGTCATCTAAGAGTCGGTAACATTTCACTGTCTATTAACAACAAGACTAAATATCTTTTAACTATTTTTATGAGTAGTAAAAAATGTGAATATTGTTTTACAAGAGAACTCGGAGGCGGCTCTTTGTCGCGGTATCGTATTACGATGTTGTCTGTAAACACGTCTTTCCGCCCGCGCTAATGATATCCGATGAGTGCCAAAAAATTATATTTTAGAAATTCGTATAAAACAATGTTAGTTTCAGCATTTTATGTCTTGCATTTCAAATATTTGAACTTTTCGCTCAAAGAAACTCTTCTTTAAGAAACATTTTTATACAATATATGTATTTTAGGTAACTACCAGCCAACCGCCACTGAAGACGCATGGTCCGAACGTGTTCGTAAACGACGTGCTTTTGCGGATGCAGCTCTTGAGCGGGACTTGCCACAGTCGTTCCCAGAACCGCCACATGCTGCAATTTTTTGCAGACATCTCTTAGCGGCTTTACTCACGAACTATACGCCTACGCAACCTCCACGGCCGAAGATATCTTTTTCTATCGAATCTATTATTGGTGTGCAATAAGTGGAGGGCAGATTTTATTTTAACTACCTTTTAAATACTCGAGATAAATTAAGAAATAATTTATATATTTGATTAACATTTATGACTTACTTAATTAAGGTGTGATTAAAAATTACAGAATTCTATAAATGGACTTTAATTAAACGACAAACTGAACAATGAGTGCTTTATTAACGAAATGTATGGTAAAAGAATTTCACGGTGAGGTCAATGATACAACCAGAACTTACATTACGTACTAAATACTTAAGTGTAGCGCACGTCGTGCCTTGATTAGGTATGTATGTACAATTCCGACAAACAGTGAGTACAAATACGACTTTAATACAAAACGGAAATTTATATATTTCACACAGAAATCTTACGATGGGTTACGATCTTATGATAGTTTTGGGTTCTTTTTGTCTAAACAAAAGCGTCGTATAAAGAAACGGTCGTACTTCTCTCTTAGAAAGAGATTTCCTTTTGAGCGAAATGATACAATTACGTTTATTAAAATTATTGGTTACAAACGTTGATTTTGCCTGTGATAGCTGGTAAAACGTACGTTAGGCCTTATTCGAGGTAGAAAAGAACTCGTTCAACATTAAAAGCACGCTGTACCCACTTCATTTACACAACATTGCAATATACCCAGTTTTTATCTACAACACTGAAATCATGCCAACGGGATACACTAATGACAGCAATTTACTCGTTAAACATAAATATAAAATGATGAAAATACATTATAAACATTACAAATATAATATAGATATCAAAATAGATACGAAAGTATGATTCATATAATTTGGCTCGACGGTAACGAATATAAAATATGATCTAGATACAAACTGATGAGTATTTATGCGATAAAGCAACTTTAAATTTAAAAATAAAATCATTCATACACTACTGATTCCGATAAACATGAAAGATTTTTCTAGATGGGATAATGTCAACTGTGCTGGTAGTTGTATAATTGTGTTTAATGTTCACACATTATGTTTAACAACATAAAAAATTTATTTCTAATTTATGTTGAAATAGAATTAGTATATTCTATCATCTATAAAATAATTTTCTTAATAAAATACTTGCAATGTTAATTATTTGAGAATGAATCTTGAGGAAAGGAATGGTGCCTTACGAACGCCGCTCACTCACGCATCGGTCACTTAAGCTATTATCACTTTCAGAACAAAATACTACAATAACAATATACAGTGAAAATATCTAATAATCTTAAAAATAAATTGAGACACCCGTAGTTTAGCGTAAATTAAATCCTTAGAAAATAATGCAACGCCGAGAAGTGAATTCTTACATTTTAATAACGGGCTGCCCTTTGTGAACGTCACGTTGAAACGTGAGACTAGACTATAAAAATTGAAAGTAAAGTGAGCGCTTTGCACATTATGGCTTCGTTGGCACATCACAGGGAGTGGGACTAGAAAGGAATCGGGGTAGGAACTTCACAGGATTTTCGGGACAGGGATTTACATAATCAAATATTTCAAACAACATAGCTGTGTAAATCGTTACATGAAATATTGTATTACGTACATTTTTGACTCAAAACTAAATCACCCTATTCAAGCCCCTAGGAATGTTTAAAATTTTACCCCCGAAATAATGCTCATCATCCAAACTAAAACTACTAATACAATATTGCAAATGTTATCTATTTATCACTAGAACTCAAATAAGCAAACCTCCTTTTAGTGTTATTCACTATAATTGTCAAATTTGTCAATTCCGTTCTAACATGGTTAATTAGTGTTAATTTCAATTACTAAAAAAATAATTTCATATGTATCAAACAATAAAAAAAAGTTTGCTGCCGTTGAGTATCTGTACGTAAATGACATAACAAGTAGTTAAAGTCAGACTTTTAAGTTTTTAATATAAAAAGTAACAATTTAATTGCATATAATTATTACATTAAAATACAACGAAATAATATATTTACATATACATAATATTGAAATCTATTTATTTAAATACACGTTAATCATTCATGGTTGATCACACAATAACTTGTCGAGAACTTAACACGAGCATTCCATTTTCTACTAACTGGACTAAATGTTGTAGGAACTTTATCAAAATCGTTTTTTTTTTATTTTTAACTCTATCTATAAAACTGTTACATGCGATATACTATGTTCGGTTAAGGTTTCAAAATGCTAGTCGTGCGATCAACAAACATACAAACAAAATAAACCATTTAAAAATACTATTTGGTATTATATAGCAGACATGACGTAAAAACTATCAAAGCGATATCGACGCGTCACAGACATAAACATACACATAATTAAATATTACTCGAAATAAACCAGTCACAAATCACAGTTGACATAAATTCTCGATTTCACTAAGTCTTTGTAATTTATATTAAACACGTACAATTTTATTTATAGAATACATATAAAACTAGTTGTGAAACAGATAAATGCGTATAAAACACAAGTTTTGTAATATTTATAGATTATATAGACAAGGGTTAGTTACTATGTGAACACAAAATCTATGCTGAGCAGAGTACAGGCTTCTGTCAAAAACAAACCACATTATGAGTACCTAACCTAAGCTGAAAAATTTTGGAAATCAACTACGAAATTTAGGTAGACATTTAGAAAACGTTCTCCGAAACCACTGAAAAAAATTAAAAACCAATTCGAAAAGTACGTTACACGTACACTAATGACTAAGTTCATGCAATATAACATTCCGATTCACTAGCAATCAAGAGCTGAATTCTACCTACAACCAAGTAGTACGACAACGTTGCCTCGAACGTTTTGATAGTCGGAGTTTCAGCTCTGAAACCGTGAAGTACTAAACTAGAGGCAGAACGACTGCAATATATGTGCCCACGTAAGCATGCAACGTGGTTCCTAAGCCTAGCACCCCGTTTCCCATGTGCGTTTCCCCTCGAGTCATAGACTTCTGTCAGTTAAGTGGATGCCGCGTAATACACGTGTAAGGAGCACTAAAGCGTCACAGAATTGTTGGCACACCCTCCCGGCCTTTTCCCGGCCATGCAATGTCTCCCCGACCCTGCTGACATTGGTTCCCCTGGAATTAACGTAATCAAATTTAAATCCAATAAATATATCTCTCAGATCTTGTATTCAGACGGAAACAGAAATAATATCCACGTCACAGTGCATTTAATACAGTATCTAAAGTGTCAAGTGTCGCGCCAAGTTGGTACATTTCCATTCACCGCGTTTTCTTAGTTTATAAGCGCGGCGATTAGCGTAATCGTAGTTACGCCCGAGATAGCAGTTTTTCTGCTTAACGTAACTAATTTTTAATAAAGAGTAAAATTTATATTTTGTATTATTTAAAACGTACCCCTGGGTCCGGGACCCATAAGTTTTGGTGCTTCGAATCGGATTCCAAATAAATTCAATAGAATGGAAACAAAATAGGTATTTTTTCGCAATTTTTTAGGGTATATTACATTTTCTTACCATTTAACGAGTCGTAGAGTCTTATATCCCGCACATGGCGGAAAGCCGCGCGCTCAGTTGCATAGGGAACTGATCCGTAAACTGGCGCCAGTTCTCCTCTCCCACTTGGTTCTTGAACCCATGAAGGATCTTCGTAAACATTTCTTTTAAATCCTCTTTCGGATGGGACCACGAGGCAACCGCGTCACAGAAGAACATAAAGTCCGCGACCACGCCCCCGGGATTTACTTGTATCATTTGACAAATGCCTCGGAATGCTGAATCTTTCTCTTCATTGTCGCGGATATTCCGCAGTGATGTACACCTGTTTTGATATCGCTCGAATTGTTAAAATTGAGGAGAGGACTACGAAAAGCATCTCATGTCCAAATACACAAAAGTCAAACAATATTTTTCTCTACTTCGAGTTAATGAAATAAACTTTATTTAAATAGAACATATGACTGTTGTGTATTTAATTAGGGTTCAATATTTTTGCACTTATAGTCAACTTATTGTTGTAAATATAGTTTAAGTTGCATAAATACAAAAACATGAACCGCAAAAAACCATAAAAACTCATAAGAATTAAAATAAATCTCTAATTATTAAATAAAAAAGAGGCAAAAGCAAAATAAGTATGGTTATTGTGGAATAATATATCTGTGATTGAGAATGTTTAAAGAGAAATAATTAATATACATATTATGAGCTTACCAAACTGAAAGCAAATAAAATTGATTTTTCAAAAATGTTTGATACAAGGCTTAGAGTAAAATTTGCCTTACAGTTTGGTTGAGTAGGACAGAAATTTAGCATCAATATATATTTAGAAAGCGGATGGTGTTCAACACATAGGTAACACGGAATATAAAAAGATAGTTTCCCATCCCAACTATAACATGTTCAAAGTGTGCTCCCTTCTGTACATAAACATGCCAGCCTCAACATAAATGAGAAAATAATAAAACACATATCAATAAGCCAACACCATCCACGATCGAAATAATACTATAAACTTATCGAACAAATTAATTGTAATATAAAGTAATAAAAAAAATTTGACTACAGACCACTGGCGTACAAATTGTTGTAAAACGGGTGCGACGTCGTGGGGGCACACATAACCTAGCCGACCGATAGTTATCGCTACGCCACGACATACCGAGAACAAAACCAATAAAACAAATCAACAAACCATCCAAAACATATTACACTTATATAATCAAGTTACAGCAACAAATCAGTGTTACGAAGAAATAATTTACCAAATATTAATATAACTAATTAAATTAAATATATACGATACAAAAGGTGGCTTTGATTGGGCATAAGATTTTTTATCATACTTTTAATCGAGTCAATAAAATTCTTTAATGAAATTATTCCTGAATACATATGAAATTAAATTAAAATACATGTTTTGAGTTGTGGACTGTGGGTCGATACAAGCGAATCCTCAACCATTTTAGTGTACACAAATGTTTAATGCCCAAAATAAAGATCAAAATCACCTTTTCAGTCAGGCCCACACTTGTGTTCTATTGGAGCTACTTGTGATATTTACAAAAATCCCCATAAATTAAATCAATCTTTAAAATATTAAAAGAAAATCGATCCTAAATATTCTAGCACTTACTACACTTTACTAGAACTTTTTATCTAAAATACATATAATGGCATGAGGAACGTGGGGATGTAATATCGGTAACAGCACATAAAATAATTTTAAATTAATATAAACAAACATACTTATTAAGCTATGAACTGCTTTTATTTCAATGAACATTGCTATATTTCATTGTACAGTAAAAATGTTATTGTTTGAAAAGCCTAAGCAGTGAGAAATGGCATATATCTAAATTTTCACAAACTTTTTTTATATGCGATATGTCATCTCTTATGTTCTATATTTAGTAGAAAGTGGTGCCTGATTATGTTAAGTTTATGCTTTTTCAATTAACAACAAAAGCCAAGCTCAATTTATACGCGTGAGAATTTATGTATGATAAAATTAACAAAATTTTAATGATATATTTATTTGATTTCAAATCATAGATTAATTTATTATTTAGCCTACATTTCAAACTCAAATTGAATATTTTATATTTAAATGTTATATTATGTATGTTAATTGAACTTACCTGTGTTTTCTAATAGTGTTTTAGGTGTGTTGGGTCGATTAATAATATCAACCAAGTGATTCAAAACTAATGGAATATATTTTGATGTTTCCGGACCTGTAAAAAAAACGATACTTTAAATTTTTCATTAAATCCTATATTAATACTAGTTTTCTAGGAACCTTTCGTAGCATCGAGCCGTAAAGTAGATGTGAGAAGAAACCTTGTATTTGACTATTACATAAACTAAACAGTTAAATTGATTTGAGACATTTAATTTCGCTACAGAGGTAAACAAAATAAACAATTACCTAATTGCAATATTTTTATTAAATTACTCAATTTATAGTAAACACATTTAGTTATTATGAATAAAGGATAAGACATTTTGAAATTATACACTTACCTAAAAAAATTGTGTATTAAGTTATGTACTATTTCACATAAAAAATCGCGAAAGAGGTATATAACTTGCCGATTAAAACGTTAATAAATTTAAGTTTAATATAGACATGTAAGTTAACCTTCACACAACGACGTGGCAGATTTGCTTCACCTGCATGGCAATACATTAAAAAAAAACGACTATTACTCACCAAGCTTAATACTGATTTCCCCAATCGCCCAAGTGGCATTATTGCACACAGATATAATTTCCGGATTTAAATTCATGCCTAGTATGGGCAAGAACTCCGGAATGTATGGGTGCACGTGTTGAAAACACGCCTTAGTTAGGTCCCCTAGCAACGCGAAAGATGATTGGCGCACCTAAAATATTGGATATTATATTGGTTGGCAAAAATTAAAATAATTAATTACCCAAACCCCAATGTTAGTAATTCGTGTATTAATTATTAAAGAACATTATATTTTTAAGCTGCTAGAAATTTTAAGCTTATATATTATTGAGCATATATACTTATATAACATAATAAACAGAAATATGAAGTATTAGAATACATATGATGCAAATTAAATAATGATAGATTATACAAAAGTAAGTGAATAAAAATGGTTGTTTTGTGCACTTTGAGAGGATATTGAGTGATATGATTATTCTTGTTAAACATATACCTCAGAGGTCCTCGGTTCAATTTCTCGACAAACAATTACATCCAACAACCTACTTGCTCATAAAAAACCAATGTGAGTACCACATGCAATTTTCTATTCTAAAACTTCAATTTTGACTAAGGTGTAAATATTAAATCAATTGAAATTATTATTTGTTCGTACAGCATAAAAGTCGGCACTCGTCCTAACAAAAAAAAGTATTTATATCTTTATATTATATTCAATACCCTCTCAAAGTCTCAATACCCTACATTCCCATGAGTAAAGCGCAACATACAGGATGTACCTCAGGCATGGGGTCCTGCATGCACTGGTAAAGCAGCTGCATCAGGTTCGAATTCAGCACCAGATGGTTGATGTGACCATCCAGGCCTTCAGCCAACCCGCTTAAGAGGTCAAGGGCAACTATCATAAAGTCTTTATCTGGGGCGTCGAATTGTTCCGGGCTCTGTGTGTTTGCCTAAAATGATATTTGTTATTAGGTATAAACAACTAAAAACAAAAAAAACATTGTTCTATCACTCTAGTATTACTTTAAAAACAGATTCTTTTTATAAATTGGGACTCGCGTAAACACTCTGACAAAATGACAAAGTACATATTGATGTTAAAAACACTTGTCAACAACTTCTGATAAAACCTAACCTACTTAAAGCTGTCTCTTTTCATCACAGTGTAAAGACAATTTGACAGAAAGAGGCTAAATAGTACTATAGAGGTTAGTTTGATATTATACATACAATGTTCTGATTTAACGTTTGTTCAATGAGAGATACACATCTTCTGAATACAGGTTCACAATATGGAAGGAAGCCTGACTGTAGAGCTGTTGCTACTGATGATAAACACTGCAAAAATATTTTTTATTAAATTCTCTGTGTACATAGTAAAATAGAAAAGCAAGATAATGTTAAATAATAAAATTTCAATTAAGCATAACTACACGATTAATAGATAAATTTATTTCGTTATTTTTTATAAAGATTCGGTACTAAGTTTAGTTTACATTTTATAATTTAGGCGATATAGTATTGTTATTTGGAAATTCAATGTCCAAATAATGAAATAAATTTTACATATTTTATACAGTATTACGTCACGCAATTTTTGGAGAGATTATTGACATCCCCCTCCCCCATGTAACGCACCGTAACGTTTTTCTATACCCAAGTATAGTAAAACGATTCGTGACCAACTAGTTAACAATAACGAGTAATTCAATCCCTGCCCCGCATCGTAACGTTTTATAAAAGGACCCCCCCTCCAAAATTCGTTACGTAATACATAAACGCTCCCTTATCTTAATATATATATTTCTTGTGTGCGTGTGTATGTGACTGAACTCCTCCTAAACGACTGGACCGATTTTGATGAAATTTTTTTGTGTGTGTTCAAGGGGATCTGGGAATGGTTTAGATTCACAAATCAGCCCGGCAGATGGCACTGCAGTCGGTACTTTCATACTTTGCTTAATATCCTAATCGCTTTAAATATCATGCAGGACAACGTCTGTGGGGTCCACTAGTTTACTATATTTTTCTTTCTTTCCTACCTCAAGTAAAGGAAAAAGATCTTTGTCTTCATCCTTAAGAACATTCCACTTTGTAATGAGCGGAGGCATCAACAGCCCTATATATTCTGGCTTGTTCAAGTGATGTCCCACCGAATCAGCCAAGGTGCCGATAGCATCATATAGTATTAGAAGATTTTTGTGCTGATATCTGCCAAAGGCAAACACCAGGGTCTGCAGAATATGTCCCAGATATGGAACGAGCTCAGTACAAGCCTCTTCTTCGAGGGTCGCGAATGCGGAACACGCTGCTTCTTGGACGCGCTTATTGTTGTCGAGCACGCGTTTCAATAACTGAAATATTCAACATGTTTAAAATAATATAATTTAAATTGTTATGTATTTATAATTAAGAGCGTCAATCGTCAGAGCATAAATATCTTTCTTTACAATTTTTATTTTCCAGGTGTGAGTTTCCTACCCGACATCATCAGTGCTATTTCTAGCAAAACAATGATTCATTTACTAAGGAAGACTAAGAACAATATTTATGTTAATTTTTTTATAGGTACTGTCCCATACTCAGCTTTTGAACCTGAGAGAACTAAAACCATAATTTAAAACACCAGCCATTAAGCCGGAGTCTTTGAAGCTTGAAGCTCCAATATGATTTTCTTGACCATAGAATAATCTACAACTTGTTATAATTACACTATTGGGTTTCTCAATTTAGATAAAAATATTAAGACTATTCACCTCAGTCATAACAGGTCGTAGATATAAATCATGAGATTGAGATACGATCCAATGGGAGTATCGTGACAGGGTCCAGCAAGTGATAGATCGTACGAGAGCCTTACGCTCAGACAAACAGCACACAAGGTATGGCACAAGATCAGGTAGATGTGGCACCATTCCCACCATACACCCATCTGCCACTGCGCCAAGGGCTAATATTCCGCTTTCCTGTAAATTAAACAAATACATAACAAACACGTAAGTTGTGATAGGAACAATCCTTATCAGTTTGGGACGTTGGGTTTTAGAGGAAGGGGTCGAACCGACACTCATACTCTCCGCGTCACTTGTATAAGTTGCCCCGGTACGGGGGATTGTAAATCAATTACCCAAGTATATAGAAAAAGTATATTTTAAAGTATATACCATTGTCCATTAAAAAGGCCTACGTAATTTAGTCAAATTATAATATCAGTTTGTTTTAACTTACCTTGATAACCCAATCATCATGAAAGAGCGTTTCCTTAAGTATTGGGAACAAAACGGGAAGTAAGTCTGCTCCAAATACATTAGCTAACACATCCAGACCAGCGGCACTGCATTTCCGAAGATTCCAATCAGAGAGAGAGCTGTCTGTGTCTCCACCATCATCTTCATCATCCGATTCCCCACCACCTGACATGTTGCTATCACCTCCGCCAACTAAACAAGAGGCAATAAAGCATTAGTTACTTTCTATTGTCTAATAATATACTTAATTTTTTTTCAAATATCGGGATAACAAGAGATAAATTAGAATAAATTAATATTTAGATGATGGACTAAATAGGTGGTGTCAAATCTCTTTCATACTGAAAAAGGGTTACAAAAAGCTGATATACCATTATGTTTGATGGTATGTGAGCGAGGTTTGTGGAATCTTGGCCGTATATCCGCGTCTCTGTCTGGCTCTTCTTCGTCTGCGTCGTCGTCACGATCACCGCGAAGCAGAATTACATCCATTTCCGAGTAACGCATACCCCTGACTAGAACTGGCAATAGCGCTGGCAGACGAGGGCCTAGTACCTAGTAATTACAGGAATTTTGTTTAAACTACTTTTATTCAAACGCGATTTGACGTGATGATTCGAATAGTAACAAGTAACAGTTTTTCATGCAAACTACTTTAGATGCACAAGAAACAGAAAATAGGATATTAAAAATTTGCCTAACCTTGCAGTTTATTTTTTAAAACACAACCACTTACCTCCCTACAGATGCTTTGATCAGCTAGTGACAGCCAGAATTCGCATGCTTCCAGTGCAACAGCCTCTTCTGCATCTTGGGTCCGTAGCAGCATATACTGTAAGTGAAAAGATATGATAGTAGAGAAGACCAAGCGGAGATTTCGGGATATACCAAAGCGTGGCAGATTAATATAAAGGAGGTACTTAAGGTGGGATACCTTGTGCCCGGTTAAGTACCTTCACCAAATATGAACCCCATAGGTATATATGGCCGCCCGTCAATGATAAAGGATCAGATTAGTAAATTAAAAAAAATCATCAGAAATTCTCGACCGCGTCTGATTAAGGTAGGGTGAGTTAATTACATGGTAAAAGTGTATATTTCACTAATCTGACAATTTGCGAGTGACGTTAAGAATGGGCAGGGCTGCAAAGTTGTAAAAAAAATCAAGGATGACGAGAAATATATCTGTGGTCATAGATCAGAAAATGATAAGTTCAAAGTAATGTGCATGCATTTATCATATTCTGACCTATGGCCACAGATGTAATCTGACGAATTTCATAAGCCGAAGTAACAAAAATTCGTCGATAAACTTTAATACTTGCAGCTCCATGATGCCTATATTCCCATCTCCGCGTTCGTATTCCTCTTTTACTGTTTCTCTAACTCCGTCCCCACTCTGGTTTCTGTCGCGGATCACACAGCTCTTTCGTGGCATGATATTATTTCCAATGTTTGTCTAACGTTTTGGCTTATTTTGTTATTTAAATATAACTTATGTAAATTAAAGTTTTAAAATATTAACTATGAGTGATATTAACATAAAGTGTATTTTGTAGTGAAACTACTTGGCAAAAAACAATAAAATTTACATTAGAAACATTACAAAAATATATACCGACGAGGGAAAAAGAAATCTTTGCAATTTATGATGAATTCAAAAATTTTCCAAAAATATTTCTGGATTTTGGATCTGAATGGAGCATAATGTGCAGAATTCTTTTAACATCAGTCTTTTACTTCCACTTGTATGGGTTGAAAAAGTTAAACGATGTCAATCCAGCCAGGATTGCCATCTTCAATAAGACCTACAAGGTGAAAGACAAATCACAACCCTTTTCCCAGTCTATCGGAGTTACTCCAGCAAGTGTTGCAGACAAGATTTATTGCATGCCCTTGGAGAAATGCCCATAATGCAAAAATTACTAATCTTTTACCAACTGACTATTTATGGAAAGTTGTCGACGGAAAGTTCGAAATGATCTGGTTTGCAGGTGATCAATTGCAAAAAAGTTTACTAAGATGATTTTATGATATTTTTTTTCGTTTTAAATTATTTTATAATAAGTACAAGTATTCTACTTGAACAACATACACTTTTTTATGCATGCTATTTCCTGAGCTTCTCAATCAATTAAGTTCAATGATTTTTGATTATCAGATTAAGCGAGTCATATTATGAGACAGCATGTCTAGGACATAAAAAAGAACCATAGATATCTTAATCCGAAGCACTTGAGTATTTCAAAATGGCGATTTTTTTGGTACATTCCATAATGGCCGCGTTTTTTTTAGTCTTGAAATATAATCCCCCACCAATGATAACATAATTAAATAACAATGAAATATACATATATTCCCATATATAAGAGTGTTTTTATTGACTGTTGAAGACAGAGTTTTTTAAGGTCTCAATAGTCAGAATGTTTGGTGAAATTTTTATACATTGCTTGAAGTGTTACTGAAGAATTTCTTATGCCACATTTTAACTATCTTATCCCTTGGTACAGAATTAAATATTTATTAAGGTAGTTATTAACACTTACCTCAATGATATTTGGCAGGTGAGGTGTAAGTCTATCCAAACGAACTTCCAACAGTAAAACTAGAGCATGGCAAACATTTTTCCGAACATCTGGATCTTCATCACTTGCAAGAAAGAAGAGGTTCTAAAAAACAAAAAGTCAATGGTATTGTTATCTTCTGACACACACATTACCCTATGTTCATATTTATTAGTATTTTTTAATGCATTATTTTATTTGAAAATGTGAGCATGGTCATTGATAAGTGTATGTTTCGAAAAAAAATTAGATCATCTAAATTCATCTACTGCAAATAATAGGTAATTGAATATAAACAAATAATATATACTTACTTCAATAAAGGCATCAATATGCAACATAAGTGCTTGTGTCCTACTCATAATAAAGAAGTTGACACAAGCAATAGCATGACATCTTATTTTTGGAGAAGAATGTCTAAAAAACTGTAGGAATTTAGGTATCATGACATTTAATGGTCGGTTTAGTGCATCACTATCTAGAAGTTCAGCCGTATCTTCACATATTTTTTGAAGTGCTCCGAAAGAACCCTAGAATACAAAAAAAAACAAACATAATTAATAGAAACATTTGTATTCCTATGGAATGAAACTTAAGACAATAACTGATTAATGATTGATATAGTGATTTCATACCTCACAAACATTGTAATCTTGTGAATCAAGCATTTGACACAATAAAGGTAAGAGTTCAGGCCAAGATGTAATCTCTCCCTTACTGGCAATAGTTGTTATGATGATTCCCACAGTAGCTCGAATTAATGGTGATGGATCGCCGATAGCAGATAAGCATTCTCGCTTAATAAACTCTGCGACCTCCGGTAAAAAACTATTGTAATGTGACTTTACATTATTTTTCAAAATTAAACCGCTAAGTGACCTTGTCGGTTCTTCTTCCGAAACCAGTTTTGTCAGGACGTATATGAGGTAATTGTTAAAATCTGGATATTTATTCAATTCCTCTAATTTCTGAAATTACATTATTAGGAAATCGAAAGCTGTCAAACAGTGTCATGTCGGAAAAATCGATTTTATCAAGAGCGTGGATTATAAATGAACACGTAGTGTTTTGGTTCTAATCTAAAATTTTAGAACATATACATTACATTTTACAAAATAAAGCTTAATAATTGAATAATATTGTAATAATTTAAACAAAAAACATCCACGCCGAATACATTGAGGCTACGGTTGCAAAAAGGATACTTGTTGAACTGCTCTCTGAGTTGCAGTGTCTGGCGATTGGGACTCCTTCAACAGAGTTAAAATTTGTCTTAATCCTTCTTCTTCAGGTTTCCACTCCATTTTCATAATAATAAATATTTTCAATAAAACGGTTGTATCTTACTCGACCTCGCAAAATTCAACCATGCCAAAAAATTTGACGGATTTTCTAGTGATACCATCTAACATCAATTTTGAAATAGTCACATTCTTTATTACATGAATTGGTCACAGATAAAATCGAGATAATATATTTTATTATTTCAAAGACATCGGAGACTTTTTCACAAGTCATACAGCCTTTGTTTTTCGTTGTTTGTTTATGAATAAAATAAAGTTTCAGTCTTCAGACATGTTTATATTTTAAATAAGACTGCACAGTGCAGATATTCCATAAATATAGCGTTGATAAAAAAAATTTTAAGTAACATTAGTAAGTAAACCATTACTGTGACAACATCGAACTGTTTTCTACTTCCAGTCGAGTCTGTGCAAACGTCTCCCGACAAATACTTATTGATACTTGATAGAAAGTTTGCATTTTTAAAATAAATAAACAAACGTGGTTTGTCGTTAAAATATTTTAAGATGCCTAAAGTTAAAATTGAAAAAAAAACCAGAATTCATAATGAAGTTGCGAAACAAGGTAGGTACTTAAATTGAGGTTATTTATGCATGCTTTGTTATTATTTCTATTTTCAATTTTGGATTTTGAAAAATTCGGTTATCTAAATAAGCCGAAACTAAATATCCTTAGGCTATAATTTTATTTCTAAATCTATTTAATTTTAGCTTAATTAAGGTGAAACTGATTTCAGGTATTCAATTCAACAAGGATTTTGGCCAGCATATATTAAAAAACCCCTTGATTATAACATCTATGCTGGACAAAGCTGGATTAAGACCAACAGATGTAGCCCTTGAAATTGGACCTGGTACAGGAAACATGACTATAAAAATGCTTGACAGAGTTAAAAAAGTAATAGCCTGTGAAATTGATACAAGGTAATTTTTATTTCAAACTATATTTAATTCATTGCATGCCTACAAGATTTTATATTGTCCCATTGAATAAGAAATTTGAATCTAAATTTATTTCAGATTAGTTGCAGAACTACAAAAAAGAGTCCAAGGTACTCCATATCAAGCTAAACTACAAATCTTAGTGGGAGATGTATTGAAAACAGAACTACCTTTCTTTGATATATGTGTGGCAAATATACCTTATCAAATTAGTTCCCCACTTGTATTTAAATTATTACTTCACCGTCCTTTCTTTCGATGTGCAGTTTTAATGTTTCAAAAAGAATTTGCACAGAGGCTTGTGGCTAAACCAGGAGATAAATTATATTGTAGATTATCTATTAACACGCAACTCCTGGCTAGGGTTGATATGTTAATGAAGGTATTATTTTATAAATATAGCACAGTAGAAACAAGTATATTTCATATTAAATATTATTATTAATTTCAATTTCTCTTGAATTTATCTGTATTAAACTAAGGCACTGAGGTTTTATGTTATCAACTTTTTTTAGGTTGGCAAGAATAATTTTCGCCCACCACCAAAGGTTGAATCAAGTGTTGTAAGAATAGAACCAAGAAATCCTCCTCCTCCAATAAATTTTGTGGAATGGGATGGACTAACAAGAATTGCATTTGTTAGAAAAAATAAGACACTGGCAGCTGCCTTTAAACACAGCACTACAATAGCTGTTCTAGAGAAAAACTACAGAGTTCATTGTTCTCTACATAATAAGGTTGTAAAAAAACTTTTTTAAAATATGTTTTCATGTAACTAGATATCTCAAAACTGTAAATAAAATAAGATAACCTTTTTATAATTAATTAACAATTCAGTAATTATATCGTACCTTTTTTTAGGAGATCCCAGAAGATTTTGAAATAAAACAAAAAGTCCAAGATATATTGACTAGGGCAGAAGCAGATCAAATGAGAGCCAGAACAATGGATTGCGATGACTTTATGATGCTACTACATGCTTTTAATTCAGAAGGAATACACTTTGCATAATATATTGATTACTTTTTATTCACATAAAATATCTAACAATGTTTTCCTTACATGATTCTTTCTAATAAATACATATTAAAAAAAAGTTATCTAATCAAGTAGCTCACTTAACAAGTACAGAATCTTTGAAACCCCTGTCAGCATAATCGGCATCACTAGCTCGTTCAGATTTGAAAGGAAATCTAGGTTGACCAGGCAAAACAATTGGTTTTGATGTCACCACTCTCCAGCCTCCCTTTTTAGTCCAGTCCTATAAAAAACAATGAATTTTCTTGTACTTATTTTTGATTGCATGTTTGAAAAGAGTTACAGCATGCTAGATTAGTAAAATCATTTAGATTATCATACTGTATATTTTAAAAATTGATATATTAAGAATGTTAGTATATATACAAAATTTACATACATTTCCTCCATATTTAAAATAGTAATGGGTTGCTAACACACCAACAGCAATCAAGCCAAGTTTTCCTGTGATATATCTATAATCTGCCGCGCGATTCACTCCCTAAAACATATATTTATATGGTATTTTGAAATATTATTGGTTAAGGTAATAAGGTTATTATTATGTAATCTTACCAAAACAGGTGATAGTTTTTCAAATAGAGCATCTAAAGGTTTGCGATACAAACGACGTATAGGATTCGTACGTTCTTTCCAGTATTCTTCAACATGCACAGGTTCATTTGGAGCCAATACTTGATCCTTTAACCACTGTTTCCGCCACTGTCGTTCAGCGTCAGTCATTCCAATACATCTTTCCCTTTCTGATGCCACTCGACCAGCAATGGTCATAGGCTTTACACCGGCCGTTTGAGCCATAATTTAGAGTAAAAAAACGCCTAAAATTCAATAGGTATTCGGATATGGTAAATTGTTATTTGATAGTTCCTGCCTAAAATCCTAGGTATTCAAATTAATGACACTTCAATCTTCATAAGTCAAAACATTTAAAAATCAAAACAGATTTTTAAGGGACGTTGACAGTCCGTGTTATACAGGTTTTGGAACTTGGAAGTGAATGATTACATTATTTCTTCTCGGCTATCTGTGCCGATCTTTTGAGTTTTGTCTAGAATATTCTGTAATTTTTGGTAGTGACAGCTGATTTGTAATTTTTCAATAATTTCTATGTAGCAAACTAGCAACCTGTAAATAGAATTTTATTTTGTGATCCTGTACTGTTTGTCGTGTAAAATATATCAGTGTTAAAATGCCTCGATTTCATACAGTAGAAATAAATAAAACTGAATGGATCGTACCGGAACGTTATCAAATGCTTACACCTGTGGGCTCAGGCGCGTACGGTCAAGTATGGTATGTACTATGTATTAAATATTTATTTCATTTATCATTTACAGGCAAAATGCCAATTTTTGTAAATTAGTGCTTTTATTATTTAACATAATAAGCAAGTAGTATCTAAATTAGGATTTATTTTTCTAAATCAAGTTGGTAAATTAAATAGTTTTTTGTGATAGTGTTGAAATAACATATTAACGGAAATAGTATCTGGTTGAAATAGTAATGTAATCAGCATGAAATAAATTCAGCATTATGAGACAATTTAAAAGACCTAACATTGTTATTTAATTTCAGTTCTGCCATAGACACGGTGCACAATATGAAAGTTGCAATTAAGAAGTTAGCTCGCCCATATCAATCTGCAGTACATGCTAAACGAACTTACCGTGAACTTCGTATGTTAAAACATATGAATCACGAAAATGTTATTGGTAATTTTAATTTATTTTCAAATTTCACACTAAATCTCTAAAGTGCATTTAAAGAGATGAATTTCACTCATTGGTACCAGCTAGTTTGCCACAAATTCTATATCACTCTCATAGTAGTTGGTGTTATAAGTTCAAATATTTCTTAACCAGAGATGAGAGGGAACAGTCTGAGTTAGGTATTATAATCACATAATTTTTACCTTCAAGGACTACTGGATGTCTTCACACCAGAAAAAAATTTAGAAGATTTTAATCAAGTTTATCTGGTTACACATTTGATGGGAGCTGACCTAAACAATATTGTTCGAACACAAAAATTGTCTGATGATCATGTACAGTTCCTTGTATATCAAATACTAAGAGGACTTAAGTACATCCATTCAGCAGGAATAATTCATAGAGTAAGTTTTAAAATAGTGATATATATTATTGGTACCTCTTATGTATGTATATGTATATTGGATATACATATATTATGTGAAAAAAAGCAGCTGAGCTATACCTTCTAGGTCCTAGATTTGTGTAACTGTTTCAATATACTTTTTTTGAATAGGCTGTAAGTGGTCAGCTGTCTTAACTTGACCGGCATCATTGATTTATAGCTCTCAGACACTGCATTTTTCTCATAAGACTTCATTGTTGAGAAGTGAATGATAACATGACTAGTACAATACTGCTTGTTATGCTCACACAAGCATTAAGGAAGCCTGGATAATAAATATAAGTCAGTTACATTTGTAGCACTACAAATAGTAAACTTTATAGGGCAGCCATTTCAAAATAATATAATCATGTTAGTTTTTGTCATAACTATTTTAATTCATATTCTGTTATTATTAAAACTGGCATATAAGCACACAAAAGGGTTTGTTTTGAAACAAAATAAAAATAATAACATTAAATTACACAGTTTTCTAGAAAAATCACATGCTTCTATCAAATCTGTTGCTTTACCGACTGATTAATTTGAGATTTAAAACACATGGTTTTTTTTTTAATGTAGCTGTAATATTTAGTCAATTAGGTATCCAAATATGATAAAAAGTGGATTTTGGTAATTTGCAAATCCAACATTGTTCTACGATCATGACGAAATGTGTGTCTGAATGTGGAAACTGAGTTCACACATATAGTATTGCTTAACAGGATCTCAAACCATCAAACATTGCTGTCAATGAAGACTGTGAACTGAAGATCCTAGACTTTGGCTTGGCTCGGCCCACTGAAACTGAAATGACTGGTTATGTGGCAACTAGGTATGTTGTGCGGATAACTACTGAATTTACATAGATTTTATATTTTCATCAAAAGTTCACATTAAAACCATATTTAATTATGTAATTAAATGTTTTAGATGGTACAGAGCTCCTGAAATTATGCTTAATTGGATGCATTATAACCAAACTGTTGATATATGGTCTGTGGGTTGTATTATGGCTGAATTACTTACAAGCAGGACTCTCTTTCCTGGTACAGACCGTATCCTTTTCAGTTAAAATATTTTATAATGTAATTTTAAAGATTTATTAAACTCCAAATACAAGGTAAGCTTTTGTTCTGTTTTTTATTAGTGCTAATAAATATTTGATAGGTTGGAGTAGAAGTGTATTAATAATTTTATTCTTATGTATTACTGCTTACTTGAGTAGTTCAGTTTCATCAATTATTTCTATAAATAGTCACTAGTTATGTTTGCTTCATAACTTTATTAGATATTTTATACTTTCTTTTTGCTTTCTACCTTAATGAATGAGACAGATATTCATCAATTGAATTTAATAATGGAGATCCTTGGGACCCCAGGTCTGGAGTTTATGAAGAAAATCTCTTCAGAGTCTGTAAGTAAAGCTACTAGCCTGGGTATTGGGAGCCTCTTACTTTCCTAATCTTCTGCTTTACATGCAATATTATTTCTTCTTTGTAAGTTTTTTATTGTAGCTTAAAATGTTGTCTGGGTAAAAATTAACAAAGCTTATTTAATTTTTAATATGCCATGTTAAAGCTTGTGTAAGTTTGGTGCTTGTAACCTTAACGTCTACGCATTCAGATATTGACCATCTCACAAGAATATTATTTTTATGTGGGAAACCCGACCAAGAGACTATAGACAAAATTTTAAGTGAAGAGGTAAGCCATTAAACTTTATAATTGGAATAAAAACAAAATCAGTACTTATTGATTTTTTTTACAAAAAGTCAAGGCGTTTTTTCCTGTCTTTCACAGCGGATATTTTATTGAGTTTATACAATATGTATGAAAAATAAGGCTTATTATGCATTGTCCTTTAGTTATAAATATGTGTGCATACTTCCTTGTAACATAGCTTACTTTACTAATATTTAAACTTTACATATACAATAACAATTGGTTTAGGTACAAAAGTGTTTTAATAAATATGCAAGCGCAGTTTGCGGGAATGACCCACACATTTTTTTTCCCTTTCTTGGCCTGCACGGTTTGTGCGTCAGCCAAACCCACACATTTATGACAAACGATTGTCTTTAAATTCAGTTATTTTATTATGACGTAATATTCGATTTGGTTCTTACGATGAGCGTGTCAGCTTAACAGAGGTAGGCTTTTATATCAAATTATTTTATATTTCAGGCTCGCAATTACATACAATCGTTACCAACATTGAAACGCCGCGATTTCCGTGAAGTGTTTCGTGGTGCAAACCCTCTTGCGATCAATTTACTTGAGCTTATGCTCGAGTTGGATGCTGACAAGTAAGTCATAAAACTAACCCAACGAAGCTACGCAAGTCAACTTAAAAAAAAGTTTTGTTTTAATTTAACAATAATGTTATTTTCAACAGCAAAGTTTGTGATATATGTATAATGTAATAGGTTGGGGAAAAAGTTTCTTTGCATTTTTTAAGAAAATTTAAAACATTTTTTAATATAGTTTATTTACATTTAACTAAAGTATGTAGGTACCATATTGTTCGATAACTTTTTGCCATCATTTAGGTAGGGACATGATCCCACTGCTATAGAAATGTTGGGGCTTCTGGGGGCCTACCATGAACTCTTATTGCGAGCCTATTGACAACCTACAACTGAGATGCATCGCTAATTCGTACCATGACATCGAAAAAACGAGACAGTTTATGTTCCCACGTGACCTTAGCGGTTATCAGATGCTGAACCGAAATTTGACAGTCGCGCCTTCCAACTATGACAGCAGTCGAAGTAAGTTTGACAGTTAAATTTCTAAACGTACTCAGAAACCACAAGCAAAATTATCGTTCTTTCATTCGGTCTTGCGATGCTAATACGTTTCAGCTTATAGGCGGTCATGGTACGAAAAAATGCTATTGACTTTAGGTACCTAAACTCCGCTGCATCTCAACTGGATTGTTTTAAGAAAGTTCATGGTAGGCCCCCTGATCAAAGTACCGTGACAATTGGTTTTGGCAGTCCTCTCGTGATGTTAACCTGACACTGCCTAAAGAATTCTGAAGAGACTGAAACAGGTGGAAATCTGAAGGTGCAAGGTCAGGACTATACGTCGGATGCATTATTACCTCACAGCCAAGCTCTCTTAGTTTTTGCTGAGTGGCTAAAGATGTGTGAGGTCTAGCGTTATCATGATGAAAAACCACACCCCTTCTGGTGAATAATTCCGGCCGCTTTCTCTCAACTTCTTGCTTTAATCTCATCAGTTGTTCGCAGTAGAGTTCAGAATCGATGGTCCTGCCTGGTGGTAACAGCTCATAATGAATAATGCCCTTCCAATCCCACCACACACACAGCATCACCTTGTTGCGAGTTAATCCGGGTTTCGCCACAGTCTGTGAAGCCTGACCGGCCTTTGACCACGACCTTTTTCGCACGTTCTTGTCGTACGTGATCCACTTTTCATCATCAGTTATCAGCTTCTTCAAAAATGATTCGGTTCCATTAAGTCGTAATAAAGAATCTAAAATGAGTACATTAGGTTTCTTACAGTGAGCTCGTGAGGTACCCAAATATTGAGCTTTTTTGTGTACCCAGTTTTTTTCAAATGCGCCAAAACTGTTTTGTGGTCAATTCTCCACTTTATCAAAAATGGCATCCATTTTATCCGTCATAGGGCGACTTGGATCTTTGACATCAAAATTTCCGGATTGAAAACGCTTAAACCAAATTTGTGCTACTGTCACAGACACTGCGCTAGGGCCATATTATTTTTTCGCGGCTTGTTGCATTTTGAACTTTTTTGTAGTAAAATTTTAAAATGTATCGAATTTCTTCATTCGATTCACTCATCTTGACGGTACGAAAAATAAATAAAAAACAGACATTATCCTAATTTGATTTTGGAATTATCTTCTTTAAAATCTCAACTTTCCTTGATAACAAAACCAGCCAGATACATATAGTATAGCCAAAGAGATTTTATTACAAGTTCATACATACTATAATGCGAAAAGACTTTTTCCCCAACCTAATATTTACATTATATAAAAATTGTGTTATTAAACTTACTTTTCTGCGTATCTCGTGATAAGTTCTAGAGATAACATGAATGAAGCCTATAAATATTATCGTAATGTAAGCTACATTGCTCTGTAATATAGAAAGCGACATGTCTTCAACCCTTTTAATTTTTTAATATCAGGAATGTACTGTAACATTGTAACTTATCTGATCTCTAAATTTGAATGCCTTTTGGTACGTATAAAAGATTACTAATGTAAACGAAGACTAATGTATGCCATATTAGATGTCCGTCATGTTCTTTTGATTTCTGGTTTTAATTTGTGTTGATTTAATCCAAGGCGTATAACTGCCGAACAAGCGCTGGCGCATGAGTACTTAACGCAGTACGCGGATCCAAGCGATGAGCCGGTGTCGGCACCCTATGACCAGAGTTTTGAAGATATGGACTTGCCTGTCGAGAAATGGAAGGGTTAGTAGAGATTACATGTATTTTATTTTAATATGTGATATTACAAGCTCACAATATTTCTGTATCTTCTTAACACGAGACAAAATGTCAGAACTAGCCGATTTTTACAAGTAACAGTAATCTATAACTCGTATAATTTAACGGATTCAAAAGATTATTTATTAATTGTTTTGCAAGCAAGTCACTTGCCATCTCTGTTCTTTACCCCCCCTTGCACATCGATATAAAATAGAATTTATTATTTTACAGAATTGGTTTGGAATGAAGTGGTAGAGTTCAAACCTCACCCGCAGCACATGAATACTGTAGTTGAGGTCAACCCTTCTTAATCATTTTAGTTTTATATGCCGGGACCCTTGCACAAACCTTAAAATCTGTTTTTTATAGAAATAAAAAAAAATCGCTATATAAATTGTATTCTTACATAGCAATACCTAAAATAGGTCTTTTCGAAAGTTTTGTGTTAAGGGTCCCAAATTCAATAACTAGCCTGTTTTATTTACATGCTATTAAGTATTAGATAACATTTGTTTTGCTCATACTTATTAATATTTTATAATCAACTTTCCTCTAGACTAGAAGGAATATTTTTTTTTGTGAGGCGTAAAGACTAGTTTTACGCATAGTGATACAAGTAATAAGAAAATGATTTGTCAGTTCATAATTATTAGGGTGATATTCAGAAACGAGACAGCGTAAAATCTCGTTTCTGAATCTTGCTTCGCCTCTTCCACGATCTTTAAGTACAGTATTGATAGTTTCAAATTAACGAAAATCTACAAGAAATGGTTGGTAAATCTACTTAATTGTTAGATTCTAATAGTATTTTTGAAACTTTACTTGGAGATCTTGAAAGAGCTCCTAAAATGCTTTTTGCATCGCGGTGAAAGTTAGTATTTAAGAATCGTGTATGACATGATTTTTATTATAATATGCAATGTATTTTAAGTCCAACCGCAGCTATTTTGCAGAAATAATTAAGCCTAAATCGGGTGCTTATATTATTAACCAAATAGACTAAGAAAACTGATATAGTGTATAAATGTATTTATAAAATGTTTAACCTACAACAAACATAGCAAAAATCACGCATTATGCAACGCCATAAATACATCACTATTACTTATTACTAATTAATTTGTTTTCAGTATTCTTATAAAGTTATTATTTATTACATGTATATTAAAGTTTGAATCCATTACTCGTTATTAAGATGCTGTTTAATTATAAATTAACGATATATGAAATTAATACATTAACGAATATAATTTTTGTAATGTGTTTTGCAATTTAGTTGCGGCAACTATTCCTAGGTGGAATAAAAATTTCAGTCTATAGTAAAGTTCTCAATTTCTTTGAAAACATGGCACGCGAGTCATAGTTTAATAGATTGTCTTATAAATTATTTAGTAATATGTGTTATAGTAGTGATACATATATTTTTATTTAATTTTGTATTGAATTAATTTCTGTAAGTATTCACTATAATATTAACCTTGAAAAAATATATTTACATATTTAAACAGAAGTGATAGTTTTATTTTCATAACCCCTAGTCAAGATTAGTCAAAGTTGAGATAGGTATTAATGAGCTTTCGATATATACGAGCCCCGATGCAAAATAGTTCGTCTAGTGTGAAATTTTCTGTGAGATTTTTTTCTTTTTTATATCTATATAAAATATTAAGCTGTTCTACTATCACATGTCGCGTTACTTATGCCATTTTTAATTATGAACCATTAAACGATTTTAGATTTTTAAATTTATACATATCTTGTTTTAAATTCGAAGAAATATATATAGACGAACTACGTCTAATGGTTAATCGATGCAAAAGAGTTCGTCTATCGGTGAGTTAAATAAGATTATTCCTTCTTTGTACAATTATGTTGCATAATTTAACTTTGTAAAAGTAATTCTGTATCATTTGTCATTTTTTTTCATTAGTTTTCAAATAACAATGGATCGTGGCAAACCCGTGTGTGAAGACCTTCGAAAGCGAATAGTTTGTGGGGTCGATGCTGGCAAATCAAGTTACCAAATATCTTAAAACTTGATACTTCCCAGGTCTACAGTCTAATCCAACATTCAGCACTATAAAAATAATAGAACGACTTCTTGTTTGAAGAAAACTGGTCGACCACGTATTACAAGTGCAGTAGAAAACAGAATCCTGGAGAAAATTATAATTATAATCATTGTGCTCGAGCTGGAGAACTCACGGTGCAATGGAAGGACATGATTCACAAAGTCGTCTCAGTTGATACTTACAAAAGAGTCCTAAAAAGAATGGGTTACGGATTTTACACCGCTATGGAGAAACAACTGTTGACTGCTGTACAAAAGAAAAAGAGGTTGAAGTGTGCTGGTGATCATTTAAATTGGGCTTCCGATCAGTGGCATAGTATCATTTGGATGACGAGTCCAAATTTGAAGTGATAGTCGGCGATGAAAGGTAATAAGTGATTCGGAACAAAAATGAGGCATTTCATACTGATTGTCTCAAACGCAAAGTGAAGTTTGCGGCGTCTCTTGTCATATGGGGCTACATGTCTGCACAAGGTGTTGATGGTATGCAGTTTGTGGATGGTTATATCAATGCTGCAAGGTAACAAAACCTTCTGGAAGAGAATTTACTGCCCTCTATTCCGTAACTTAAGCATCAAGATTCCTTAATTTTTCAACAGGATGGTACTTCCTGCCATACTGCAAGGACAACAAAGACGTGACTACTGGCGAAAAGCATCCCTACAATGTCGTCCGACATTGTCGCCGATCGAAACCCTATGGTGGAAAATGAAAAAAGTTCTTCGTAAAAATCCATCAAGATCGAAGAGCGACTTAAAGACAAAGACAAGACTTTAGTCTTGCCTGACTGGGAGTCAATTACGCCTGAGGAGTGTGCAGCGTTGGTTGCAACAATGCCTCTTCGCATTAAAGCTGTCATTGAAAGCATAGGCGACACAACTAAGTGTTAGACGAACTATTTTGCGTCAGAGACAAGGGTAGACGAATAGAAGGGGTAGAAAACTATTGCGTTATTGCTTTTTAGTATATTTTTTTAATTTTTTATGTTATAGAAAGTCATGAAAGAATTTCAGTTATACTAAAATAAACTTTATAATATTCCTCAAATTGTGGTTTACTTTTTATTAAACGTTCTTAATTATTTTACCAATATTTACTTTCTACATTTTACGCTTTGCACTACTTTCCATACTAGACGAACTATTTTGCATCGGGGCTCGTATAAGCAAAAATTATTAAAGCCAAAAGTTTATAATAAAGGAATAAAAGTAGTAAAAAACTCGACAAAATGAAAGCTACATTCTTTATTTTTATTTACTTTATTTTGGCATAAAACATGCTCTTAATTATGCATTTAATAATTATTTAAATGTATAACTTTAACTTTTGATAAAAAGAAATAATCATATATTTGCACTCGCTAAACTAAGTGTCAAACCTGGTATGAGTGAGCTAAATGCCTGTTGTAGTTGCATTGAAAAATGAGTGAACTGTACGTTGATAATAAGGTTACAGGAATTGTATTTCCAGCGAAAATACTATGATAATAGCTGTTATTGTCCCTACTGCTTAAAATATCAAATCGTGAAAACAAACTTATAAATGTCAGTGTAAAAGAGTTCAAACTTTTATAATTAATATATCATTGTAGCTACAAAAAAAATTTAAATACGACATACGGGAAATCTCTCACGATCTCGTTTAAATCAGCAACTTTGTTAACAAAGCAGTCGCGACGCTTTTAAATGCATGAAAACTTTTACTCTAGCCGAAGATGCATTCTCATTGGGTTACAAAGGTTAACGAGAACATAGTCGAAAATCCTATATGAAAATATATATCGAAGACATTACAACAATAAAGCAGCCATATTTTCATCAATTGTAGGATAGATTAAAATAAATTTAACTTTATACAAACGTAATAATTTATTTGATCAGTTATATTTACACATAGGTAGGCATTAAAGGCGAGCAGGTACCTCTAAGCCTAATTTATACACGGGTTTAAGTAATCAGACTGAAGGATACTGCTCAAAATACATTTTGGGTAGGAATTTACACCTAACGTTGAGGACATTAAGTATATAAATATAATCACCTACTTAATATTTTATCATTTGTGATTTCGTAGATATTATTAGAATAAAAAAAATCTGATGAAACCTACTATTAAGTTAAACGTGTTTAGTGCTGGGAAAGATCTAATATACAAATATTTATATTTAAGGTAATTTACTGTTTATTTTAAAATAAGTTAAATATCTATATATTTTATTTTATACGAGCATAGGATTGATTTTATTTATACAATGTTTATTGTATATATTATTCTGCTATACACGAGTTCGACTGAATTAAAAGTAATACATTTTTACTCAGTTAAGGGTTCAATTTCTATGCTAAAGTGTTGAAAAGAGATTTTAAAGTAGTTAATACGACAAAACTAAAACCAAAAATATTTTTAAGAATCATAGATTATAATAAATTATAAGAAAATATTATTCAATTCTGCATAGTCCTAGTAACCATAAATCTAAAGTCATATATGCTTTTAACATTGTAAAACGATAACTGAATTTTCCTATAGCTAAATAATTAAGATATTTTACAAAAAAAATTTTTTTGGAAATGTACCTACTTTCTGTTGCTGGTATGATTTATATGGCAAATTTTTTTGTGCAGCTTAGTCCAAGCTAGTTGGGTTTTTTTAAAATGTATTATGTCAGTCAGATCGAAGACATTGTGACACGAGAGCCCTAAAATCGAGAAACATAAAAAAAACTGAAGGAATTTTTATATTTTTTTTTCAATGCATTATTTTTTTCCTGTCTTAAATAAAAAATACTCTGGTAAGACAATCTAAATACCCGCGATACAAAAAACGACTAAATGCTAACTTAGTACTCAAGTTATAATGGCTACATACATTACATTTGTGTAGAGGAGGCTCTAGCAGACATGGCCACCACCAGCTCCCAAAATCCTAGTTATCACAGTAATGCTAGTTTTTAAATATTGTACTAAAAACTGTCAGTAATATTACGTGGCACGTTTAACTCAGTATCAGATAAATCGGAATTTTTATTAACAATTGTATTAGGGCCTCGATCAGTGCTTTTTTCTTTGCTTGGATTACCATCAGCAAAAGACTTGGAACTGTTTGCGTGACTTGACGCTTCACTGCAAGTGGAACTCCTTAAATGCCTCTGATTACTTACAACAGAAACAGCACTTTTCAGTCTTTTGCTCTCACAACTAATTCTGCCTTCTGCTTTTCTTTTGCTACTCTTACGACTCTTCTGTGTTCCACTAGTGCTAGGTTGATCTGTAGAAGTTTGGGATTTTCCTGAACTCGTACTCGCCGTTGCACCGGCACTTTTGGATGATTTTACACCTTTACCAGAATACGATTTACGATTACTTTGTTTAGTTTCTGCAGGTTTGGTTTTTGACTTTTTTTCTTTTTTTATTCTCTTGGTCTTTTTTTTTGTTCTATCACTTTTACTTGATTTTCGTTTGGTCTTCTTTTTTCTAGTTTTTAGCGGACGCGGTTTATAAGAGTCACTACTTGAATCACTATAATATGAAATAACATCAGTTGAGGATGAGGAACGTCTTGAAATTAAATCTGATTCAGACGACGTAGAAGTTCCACTAACGGAAGAGCTCCTGTCGGAACTGTGAGACGGATAAGTTGTCCATTGAGATAGGGGCGGCGTGTAAGTGCTATCGTCAGAGTCGGAAGGCGCGCTGGTTCGCTGGGCGGAGGGGCAGAGAGAGGGTGCAGTTGTGGAGGGCGGATGGTGTTGTTTCAAAGTGAGTTTGACCAAGGGCACTGGCCTGCTTTCTTGAGCCTGACTCGTCTGCGGCACCACTATGGGCCGCGGCGGTTGAGCGTCTTCTTCGATGACGACGTCGCTGTCCGACTCTAGCAGATCTACTACTTCCGGAGTGCGCGCATGAGGGGGCTTAATATATCCCACCACCATTACTTCAGAGTTGTCGTCAGAATCAGAATGTGATATAGTCTCTATTGGAATTACATCGTTTGTTGATGGATTTGAAATATTGGGTTGGGGGTACACTGGTGCTGGCCCTCGAGACGGTCCAGGTGGCGCTTCTAGTGGGAAATTACGTAAATAATCATCTATATCTACCTCCGAATCGAGGCTGGAATCATTATCAGAACTCGAAATCACCTCGTTGACTATCGTCGATACTCGCGTATCAGTTGTGTATTGAACATTCCTGTCGTATCCTGCCATATCATAAGGTGTCGATGCAAAACAATATAACTCGTGTAAAAAATGCTCTGTCCTTTCCCCGAAATACCTTTGCAATGCCTCTCGGAATTCTGTGGAATTAATATGATATCGAGGAAGCAAATCCATGATTTGAGTCATCACATAGGATATATGCCCAACATTTTCATTTAGTAAGTAATGGAGTTCTCTACTTAACCAAGGCACTAAACGGTGCATTTGAGAGTCATTACACCTGAAAAAGATACGATGTTTGATTCAAAGCACACAAACAATATAGTATTCATATTTTTGCATTTTTTATTACCAAAGAAAATATACTGTATACCTATAGAATTCCGGGGCACAGTCTCGGTATCTGCCTGTGAAGTCTGGGAGAGGTCGAGCCCAGAGGTTATGACGATATACAGTTCGGCGAAAATAGGAAGGTGGACGGCGTCTGTGAGCAGGTGGTGGTCGACGAGCTGCTGTCCGGTAATTTGACAAAATCTGTTCTAGGGCCCATGAATCTCGATACGGCAATGTTAATGTTGTCCTGTAATATAATATTACATGCTATTTATATTATATCTAAAATATGAATAAAATCAATATAGTATATAGAACCCAACCACTTATAGTGAACAGTAAGTATATTGACCACTGTTCTCAATATAAACAAAATAAAAGTGTTTAGAAATAAAATCCATAGAACTAGCTAATAGGATAATTTAGTGACAATTTTACTCACGAACTATCATATCAATCATAACTAAATTGGAGGTATAAGTTTAACTTTTATTATTCATTTACCAATTCCAAACCAAAGCCAAAAACAATTAACAACATTAATTTTGTTACACTACTTTAAATAATTGTAGTCAAGAAATAAATTAGATTTATTAAATTAGATTAGAAATTAGACATTTTAGAAACATTTACATTCACCTCACTAGTCAATTTACTTTGTCTGTATATTATGTTAAAAAATGTTTTTTATTTAAGTTGGCTCACTAAGGCAGATAAGACATTATTTACTTAAGTTATGCATACTGATTAGGTACCTTGATTCATGTCATTGGGTCAGAATAATATCTATCTAGTAATTCCCCCAATAATGCGGAATTTACCCTATAAAGCGGAGATTTCTCAATTTATATTTCTGTCTTGTGAAATTTATAATGATTTGTCCATAACTAGTTTTGCGTACCTTGGCACCTGCTTCAATTGTTTTGTTATAAAATTAAACTAACTTTGTTTAAATAATTGTAAATTTATAATAATACATAACTTTAATCCGGTTAAAAAGATTTTTCTTTAAACTAACTTTATTAAATTTGTGTTGTATATGTTTGAATTGTTCCAAAAAACGTTTTTACGAGAATACTCCTACAACGCGATCTCCTATAACATAGTATATCCAGACCGCCGAGTTTTTACTGTGCATTTTTCAACATAAACAACAGAAAACCGAACTGAACATGTTAGAAAAAAACATTGAAGGTTATCAGGACGCCAAAAGGATTTTTGTCTGTGTGGAGCATACAGGCAACTTTCAGATCTTATACTGCTTTTACTTTATGTTAAGAAATCGAACAATAAACCTGGGTCTCAGTGGCCCAAGTCGCAAAACTAAGCATTAACATTTTCTTTTTAGTTTATGGGTGCAACCTATTCCCAAGCACTGATTTCATTGAAATATTCAGTAGAAGCTTTAGATTTAATGAAAAATATACACAATATTCTTCAAATGATTGCTGAATCCGTTTATGGAGTTTTATGATACTACATTCTTACTTCTTACTATTCCACCTAGGAGAGCTTTACCTGTATCTAAATCTCTGTGTGGCATTTGTTAAAGTGTCAAGTTCAATTCTCTCAATATCCTCCACTTGATTTCTCTGTTCAACCATGTACTCTTCATACTGATGATTAGACCGTACATTATGAATGATTGATTTAAAAATTTGTTTACACAGTGGACATTCTGCCTTGACCTGTAAATTCAGAGTTTAATATTATAAAACTAACAGTTCTAAGTGTTGATCTATGTTTTATTTCTAAGCTAGATCTTTATAAATTCAAATTCGCCATAGTAAATTAAGTATCTAGTACTAATTATCTAATCTATTTACTTATGAATTCTATAAATATGAGTGCCGTTCTTTCTAATATTTCATCAATTCATTATTGATTCTGCAAGAACACCTCATAAGAATGTCACCATCAGTGTGTTAAAAAAAACAGTTTAAATTCCAATGTTTAAAGCAACATGTCTGTTTAAAAAAAACTTGTTTTAATCATGTCAACCTTGCCTGTAGTTATTATTAGAGAATAAGTTTTATATAAAAAATTATACAAAAAGAAAAACCTCTTTAGAAAAAGAGCTTCTTTTATATGCATTTCTAATTACCCACATATGTTTTACAATAAAAACTCACCTTACTCCACTTCAAGATACATCTAAAGCAAAACTGGTGGAGACATGAGTCTGTAAATGATTTATTTTTACATGTTCCCAGACATATTGCACAGTTTGGAGGAGGTGAACTTCTCCCACTCTCATGCTGGGGACTACTGTCATCACTTTTTACACTGCTGTCTCCTTGTGATGTGTTTGATATTGTTTCCATGTTAGAGGCCTTAAATTTTACAATATTTTATATTTTTCAACATCCATATATGTTTATATATATATGAATTCAATTGTTTTGTTTAAGTAAGAGGGGTAGATGCATTCAAACAAAGTTGTTTTAATAGGTTTTTAAGCATCTTTAACTACATACTCTAACAATTATAGCATATGTATCAATTAAAATAACAACGAATTTTTTTTATTTATCATGTCTTTATTGATACTCTACACTAAACAATTTGTCTTTACTTTCATCACAAATAGAGGCATTTAAAAAAAACTGTATTACCCCATAAACCGATGAACCAGTCCAATAATTGTTTATGTGCTGTGTCTCTCTGAAGACTTACTTAAACAACATCACCAGTATTAAAGTGTCTAAGTTACTGCGACACTTAAAAAAACCCTATCATGAGTATTCTCGAATCACGATCACAGAATATTATTAAAGAAATTTTACATCCTACTGCTTTTAATTAGATAATTACTCCTCTGTGTACATACTAAAGATCAGTAGAACCATATATCAAAGTTTTATACAATTTCAATTAACGAAAACGAATGAAATCGAAAATATTTCTTAGATATTCCTTGCTAACATATTTAATTTTCAATTTTCACACATTGATTCTATTTCACAGATCAAGTAGTATACCACAGACTAAGACCAATTAGGGAGACATAGATAAAATTTTAGTGTTAATGAAAATATAGCGGCTGTGGCGTACAAATACAGTAAGCAAAAATTTAAATTAATGTACCGTTAAACGGGGTGAATAGAACTCACGGGGGGAATAGAGAAAAAACTTGGCATCATTTTAAACCTTATTTCATATAACTGAGTGATACCAGTAAACAAAACCGTATCTTTAGTCATTTGGTAGTTTTATTTTCCTTGGTCTGGCAACATTTTTTTATGGCAACTTCGCTAAAAACGTCAAAACTAAATTTTAAAGTTGACCAAAAAAAGTCGTTAAAGTGCAAGTTTGAACTTTCGTAATTTAGAGAATTTTGGCGATAGAAGTCAATAAATATCTTCTAATTACAGTCAGTGTTATCATAAATATATTGTGCTGTAATTGTTGAGGTAAGAATATACGGGTGTTTCTCTGCTATTTGGAAACTCGCCCATACAAGACTGTCCTAAGAAAATTTTGTTAGATGTTGAGAATGTTTGTTAATAAAATTAAAGACAATATTAAAATAAATATATCTCTTAGAAAGGCCCACTGATTTTCGTCCTGGTTTTTGAGTTATCAACGATTTTTTCCAAAAACGTGACAGGGGACTGTTGTAACGCACAAGGGATTGTTTTTATCAATAAAAACACGAATTTTAGTATGAAAGTAATCCATTTTGAATGCGTAGTTCTTACATATGCTAACTTAATATAACAATATTAGTATTTAAAACAATTGTACCATTAAAGTAATTGCCATAAATTTCACAATGTCTTATATAAAATCAGTCTTAACATGGCATTTTAGGAAACTATCTTAAAAATTATTATTTCTCAAAAACAGAAACGGATATTGGAAAATAATCTTCTCCCTTTTAGAGTAAGATCTGGTTGTGGTAATTTCTGCAGTATTTGGTCAAAACAGACACCAGAAATATCATCTTCATCCATTCTGAAGTTGTGGCCTTTATCATCACAAATTTTCATAAAAGATACTGTTAGTTCGCCATCCTCATCGTCTACTTTATTAATTACAGCATAACGATATTCAGTGTTTCTGAAATAACACCTAACTAAAACGTTATCACCATTTTTGTACTGCTGTTGGATGCTTGTACTAGGCCCTTAAGTATTGTCAAAATTAGTCATAAAATTGTCACACGGTCGTGAAATTTCGGTTTCTGGAATAATGTTATTATCAGCGGAGAAATCGGCTGGCCTGGTTTCGTCTTCGGAGTCTGTGTATACGTCCTCGGAGCGTAGTTTTGCCGTTTAGTAGTTGATAACCCCTAGGTTAAAATTTTGGCATTCTTCTTCACAGCAGCTTAAATTTGTCATTATAAGTTTTTCAGTGCTTTGTAGTAGTCCCAAAGGACATCTTAATATTTTACCCTTATTCTGAGGTATTTTAAGAGTGCCATTGAAACCTTTCAGGTACTTGGCATCATTCTGAATATCGTTAGTCATATATTTAATTGCAGCATCGTTAATTGCAAAGATTGTAATAGCAGGACATAGTTTTTGTACAGCATCTATAAATGAATCCAAACTAACAATTATAGCAACAATGCCATCTGCAGTTCTTTTGCATGTAGTGCTTAAACCATCTGCATCCTCTTTCCACGGCCACTCTCTCTAAAGTACCAGGAAAACGTCTTCATATTTTGGACCTCTACATGAAGCTTTGAAGCTAAAATATAAAACGTCGCTTTGTTTCGATATTGTGTTACTGGTCCGTCGCGCACAAAATAAATGCCAGTAACATGCGTGGGTAAAGTTTTGAAAATAGGTTTTAAATGTTCCCATTTAAGTGTTCTCATCAAACGTTCTGCTATACGTTTTTGTTCTATTATTTCTTCTCGTTTTTTGGCTGGTTTCTTTTTGGGTGGCATATTGAGGTACTTCCTAATGAAGAGACAATAAAATTGTTAATGATTTTGATCATAGATGCGCAAACTGTCATCTCAGACTTGAGAAAACCCACAGAAAACAGTCCCCTGCGTTATAAAACAGTCCTCTGTGCTATGAATTGACAGGGGACTGTCGGCCAGGGTACTGTCATTTTTACCTGTTAGTTTAATAAAACTTGTTTTTTTACACTTATCACATTCACGAAATAAAACGTGGCTACATACTTAATAATCAATTATATGTAAACAAATATTTGTAATTAAAACTCTTAAAATAGTAAAAAATGGCTTACCAGTGGACTGTTTTTTGTAACGGCCGAGACTCGTTGTTCACTGAAAGACTTAGTGGTAATACTAAAAAAATGGCGACTTCTCGATGATCTATACACCCAAAAGAACTTCGCACTGATTGCGTTCCGTTTCACTAGGTTAACAATAGCACCAATACAAAATTTGACTTAAGTGCGGTTTTGAAATGTTATCAGGGGACTGTTCAAAAATTTTGAGGACAGCATTCACGTATTGATTTTTTAATCAAATTTTTATAGTAAATATATAATTGTGATTTATATAGATGCTTACTGTTTTATTTAAGGTATTTCAATATTTTTTATTCAAATATCAACGGCTCAAAAGATAAAAATTGGTTCAAGACTTGTAATTTGGGAAATGGGACATACCAGGGGACTGTATTTTGGGGGGTTTGAGGTTGATTTAATCAGATATTACGTTATTAAATTACTAAATAAACTGTGGCGTGTCAAGAATACATAATTATATGTCATTATTCATACAAAAAACTAAGAAATATTTAAAATTATTATATAAAATTTGCTTAGGACAACGATTTTCCACTTAGTAGAGAATAGTATATATTATTATAATTAATTAGACTTATTTTGTAAGTCTAGTTTACTTTAATTTTTTGAGGTCAAGACACGCGAAGGGGGTGAATAGACACACCTGAAGGTTTAATGAGCACGCGAATATGGTTAATAGATGCAGCAAAGGGGTAAATAGTTACGAAAGTAGGGTGATTAGATATGATAAAATCAGGGCTGCCAAAAAGGATAAAGGATTATCTTCCAAATTCCTTCTGCCAAAACCAACCTAGGAGTTCAGGCACCTCTTGTTCGAATTCTTCGCGATTTTAACAAATTGAACTCAGCTTGTCCAGAGCTGGATATATTCGGTAGTGGGCTGATCGGTTTTAGAGAAAGCATTGTGGGGTGCCTTTCTCGAACCTGATTTCGCTGTTTTGATGACGATTTTTCTTTTTTTTTTGCTCTAAGTGGCAACAAACTTCTGTAATTTTATTTTATTGTGTGCTTTTACTATCGTATACGTTTTAATTGTATTTTTTAAATTTTAATTTCTATTTGATTTTTTTGTGAAACTTATGCTTACATTAATTGGCACACATTTTAGATGTGTGATTTTGTAAAATAATTGGTAATTTTGGTACTGTGTGTGCTGTCGTGGGCTTAATAACTAAATAAATAAATAAATAAAAGGACTATTTGGTAGTGTTTATCTCCGGTTGAACTTCCACTTTTAGTTTCATACTTGAAGCTTTTAATTTTGTTTAAATTTGGAATTTTGAGGTTCTAATTAATTGTACTTGAGATACAATCATAGCTAAGTAATTTATCTAGTTTGACCGATACTGCTGTACCGCGGTCTAGGTACGGCCGCGGCGTAGCGGGAGGAGGAGATTGCAATCCGTTCCGAATATTAATCGTTTTTGAACTCATGCTCTTACTTTCCCTATCCCGCCCGCATCCCGAACCAGATTACGCCCGCCGGTTATAGCAAGTCTTATTATTAGGGGTAAACAGAGGAAGATTGGCCCAGAAACAAGCAAAAATTGTATTATGGGTAAACAGTGAATAGCGCTTTCTCATGAAGCCTCATTCATTAAGTACCTAAAATGAAATAATAAGGTACATCTTTGGTTTTGTTAATTTCATCATTGTTTTATTTCTCAGGTACAAAAATGCCTCGTAACTATAAGCCCGATCCACGGGGTAAGCAATATCGAAAATATGACCAGGAGACAATTAAACAAGCTTTGGAAGAGTTTGATACTACACCAAACTGCTCATTAGCCTCTATCGCAAATAAATATAATATTAACAAATCGGTGCTATACCGACACAGTAAAAAAATTATGAAAACACAAGGTGGTCAAAATGCCTTAGATGACGACACAGAACGCCACATCGTCAATTATATAAATATTTGCGGCAATTAGGGTTATCCTTTAGACACTTACTAGTCTAGGGGGGGGGGGGGGGGGGGGCGGCCCCGTTATCAGTTGGTATTATAATCGGTCATATAGGTAAGTAATTATTATTAGTAATTATAAAAGTGGAAAAGTGAAACGGGTGGCAAAACCCCCCCCCCCCCCCCCGTTGTTTGGGAAAAAAAAAGTGAAAAAAAAATTATTTTTTTGGTGGAAGAAGGGGGGCGGGGGTTGTTTTAAAAAATTCTTTTCAAAAACGGGGGGGGGTGAAAAAAAAGGGGGGAGGGGGGGAAAAAAAATTTGGATTTTTTTTTTTTTTTTTTTTTTTTTTTTTTTTTTTTTTTAACCCCTTTCCTTTTTTTTTTTTTTTTTTTTTTTTTTTTTTTTTTTTTTTTTTTTTTTTTTTTTAAAAAAAAAAAAAAAAAAAAAAAAAAAAAAAAAAAAAAAAAAAAAAAAAAGAGTTGGCAATAAAATTGTTTACATAAGCTTTACAAAAACATTGTTCACATTTCATTAACTTATAACCTATGTACAACATATTAAATGTTTTTTTCTTTTTTAATTATTTTTGTAAAGTAAACTGAAACCACTAACAAAAATCCTGTCGAAGACATGTAGTTTTATCTAGATTTAAAGACTCCACCCTTCATACCGAAATGAGATATCCGAAACTTGTGAAACGGATACGGTTACGGTTACGGATATAGATGTTATTTCGGATATCCGAATTGTTTCGAGTTACGGTTACGAAGAGCTCCATAACATCCCTGTATAGAAACAGATAACATTTTTAGTTTTGGCCTAATTTTTTTTTTAAGTTTCTCTCAAAAAAAAATTTTTTTTTTTTTTTTTTTTTCTTTTTTTTTTTTTTCCCCTCTTTTTTCCCCCCCCCCCCCCCCTTTGAATTCAAAGATCCAGCACAGGGTGAGATGTGTGACACTCACAATACCAAGCTTGTAGATTTAGAAAAAAAGGAAAATAAAACAGTCAAAGATAAAAATGTTGAAATTATTTCTATAGAAAAATTCAAGAATACTAGAAGTGGGGTGAATTTAAAGAAGTGTAAAAAAATATCATTGAATACTGTAATTAATATAAAATAAATTGTGCGTGTACTAGGTGTACACACGTAAGAAGTGAAACTTTTTATGATCTTATTTTTCGAAAAATGATCTACTATATGCAACTTTACAGAAATTCGTTAAATTAGATAAAGTTTAACAATAGGCTTTTATTATCATAGACATGAATGAATACAAATATTTCATTTTACCTTAGGTATTACTACGAAGATTATTATAGAATTTCATTAATTGTAATAGAATTATTACTATCATTGAAAAACGTGACGATTTGCTACAAAATTTCTCCCATACGTCGATAAAGAAGTTTCATTCCAACGCCGATAAAGAAGTTTGACTTCAAAAAGCAACATGGCGCGTAACCGAAAATGTGACGCGTAACGAAAAAATGTTACACTAAATTTTTTTCCAACCTCGATAAAGAAGTTTCACTTCAAAAAGAAAAAAACTCGACAACAATTACCAAGTAATACAAAAAATCAACATTATTACAAAAGTGATGCCGAAATTTTAAGGGCTTTGAACGATGACAGTATTTAAAAATTAGATACCTACCTAAATGAAAATTCTTAGACGGCCTGAGTGACTGACTTTCATTATTTAAATAATATTATAGAAATAACTGATTTTATATTTAATGTTATTTTTCAGTCGATATGTGATTTTTAATTTGTATTAGAATATGATTTTTAAGTTTGTTTTGATAGTAGGTATTGTTAAGTGTAATCTTTAAGGAAAAGCATTTATACCTATTAATAATTTTCGATTTAGTTAAGTACATTTTTCTAGTTTCACATTTTTTTTTTTTCAATTAATATATTTTAAAAACATTCATAAATAATATAATCTGAAATACATTATTGAGTTTCATTTGTTTGTCTTTTCCTTACATAAACAAAATTCAGGGAAACTGCGATGGCGATAGTGTGTGTCTATTGTCCCCTGATGGGAGGAAAATAGAAATCACGTATATTTTGTGGATATTTTGAGAAACCACATACTTATCCTAATGGAAACGAATATATTTCAAAAGTTTAGTTTAGGACTTAATAAATGCGTAATTAAAAAAATGGCTTTCAATTCCGCAACATTACAAAAATCGGTACCAAAGTTCGAAAGCCCATCTATTCACCCCGTTTGACGGTACACTAAACAGTAAAAGCTGTTCATCTTTTTATTGATAAATTTTTATAAGCTTTAAACATCGAATGTTGAACATGCGACTTGAAGCTAATGCAGTAAAACTTTTTTATACACTTACTCTAAGTTTTTTCAAGTGATAAAATGGCTTGAATAATGACTTAAAACAAAATTGTATGCTTAAAATAGACACAAAAAAACGACGGGTTGCACTCCGGTAGTGCCGGCAGAAGTGAAAACTTGAAAATTAACCTTGTACATTTTTTATATTTTGGAATGGTTAGGGAATAATTTTGCACGAATTGCTTTAATTATCAGTATAAAAGTACTATCATTTATGTGGTAGAATACAATATTTATTTATTGCGCTATCGTAAATATGCCGCGCCAGCTGTCTACTCTCCATCCGTCTTACGAATTTTCTATCAGGTCACGTGTCTTGACGCGAGTTTACCATTCCAAAAAAAGGTATACAAAGCCGCTAAAGAAGTTTTCACTTCAAAAAAACAATGACAGTAAATATCAAAAAAATGGGTGCGTGTACTTATGTATGCGCGTAAGAAGTTATACTTCTTTGGCATTATTAAAAATTGTATTTTTCTTCAGTTTACATCCGAAAAATGAAATAAATAAATATTTATCAATATTATATTTATTATTATTTTCTAATATTAATTAGTATTGATTTAAATATTCAATTTAAATCACTTCTGATTATAATTCAGACGCACATATAAAATTCGCACTTGTATAATGAAAACAAAATGAAAAAACGTGTTTTAAATGTAGAATCTCAAAGCATGTGGATAAATATTATAAATATAAATACACAGTAAACAGAGGCGGCGTGCGTGCCAACATGCGCCACTAACTTCATTCTGTTAATTTTGTGTCACGGTGCGCGCACATCGTAAAATTTCACTCTCATCAATTTTTCAAAACGCGCCAAAAGAAGTATAACTTCAAAAATCATAATAGTCTTATCAGAAGTCGAGTAAGATACGCGGCATATGAATTTCGTTGTATATTTCATATTTATTTATGTTTTTTGCGCTTCATTGGACTTTAAAGTTGAGTTTACCTTACAAATCAACTTTATCTTTGAACTTAGAAATTGTATATCGTACCTACATCATTAAAATGAATTTTATCTATACAAGCCAAGTAGTTTGATATAGATAAATGAACGTCAACTCTTTGAAAAAAACTTTTAGAGGCTGTCAGCGAGGAAAATACTAAATAAAAACCTAGTAATTAGTAGGTATTATACTATAATTTATTCATGTATGTACTTAATTTTGATTATATAACGCCACTTTATAAATAACCACGTTAACGCACTGGATAGAGAATGCGGGTGCCATGCCAGCAGGGTTACACCTAAATAACAGACCCAAAGTACTTTGCGTTGTAGACGAGTCCCCCAGACGCGACGCTGCAATCGCATGACGTAATGTTGCCATTTATGAGTAAAAAATTTACCTATTTTATTTACATTTAGCAGATGTAATTTATCAAATAATACTATTTTCTGCATACTTCGATGAAACAATATTTCTGTTATGTAAAAAGTATATTTTTAATTACTTATATTAGCGGTGATCTACCTACTTACAGAGAAAAGATAAGAAAATAGGGTAAAGAAAAGCAAGACAATTTTTTATTCAGAGTTTTATTGCATAATTGTGATCAACGGCCATAGGGACATCACTGTCTGAAGAGTGGATGGAAACAGAATCAGATTCTGTTTCAGTATCACTAGCCGTTGATATAATTATTCGGTCCATCTCTTCATCCATAAGGCCGTCATTTTTTAAATATTCCTCCTCTAAATGTTCGAAATGCGTGCACTGAGCTGTCCAATCTTCAGCCGTAATAGACTCAAAGGCCTCTTTAGTTAATCTTACAATTTCTTTTGGATCTTGTGCCACGTTCTTATCCGTCACCTTTCTTTTTACAAGGCTCATTTTGTCGCAAAAACGAATTTATATCATAAAAGTCCCATCAATACAGCAAAAAATTATTAAATGGCAACTCTAAAAAGTACCTGTTATGGCGGCAACTCTCTTCCGAACATTGTTTAGTGGTATTAAAACACCTTGATTCTTATGTTCCGCTTCACAGAACTCTTTCACCTTTAATATCATTTCTCGAGCCGAACTTTTTACAACTTTTGGCATTGTAATCAATCTTTAAAATGCACTAAGCTAGTTAAAAATTCACAAAAATCTACCACAACAAACGAACTTGATAACATCGACGAATGACAACATTGCCGACCTGTCAACATTTAGTAATTAGTTCCAAAAATCACCGCGGGACTTCTTTCATGAAAAGCACTATACTTACATGTGGAACTTATGATATAGGAGTGACATTAGTCTTTAAAACAGCCACCAGCCACAGGAATCATACATTTAAGGGAATTTCGAAATTAATGTAAAATTATGGTTTTAAAAACTGCATATTTTGTTTTCAGTACAAAGTAAACGCAGTTAAAATACAGTAGATCTGCTGTAATAACAGTGTACTTCGTGTGAGATAAAAAAAACAACGTTCAGACTTCAGTCATCTGTCATCCTCATCTGTGATTTAATGTGACAATTTTTTTATTTTGAAAAGTGGAAATAATTTTCAGTGCTTTTTCTTCTAAGCAGCTTTAATTTATGGTATTAGGCAGAATTTCTGAAGATAAAAATGGGATTGATAAAAAAGGTATAAAGAAAGAATTAAAATGCATATTACTATTCTCTATTATGTAACCTAAATTGTTAAAAGCAAAAATTATTGTATTTTAGACAACAGGGCTAATGGGTCTAGCTGTAAATCCAAATCCTCATCACACTTTGGGCGCATTGTATGGTAAAATATTAAGAACTTTGCAAAAAATGCCTGAACAGTCAGTCTACAGGAAATATACAGAACAAATTGTTAAAGAAAGAGCAGCAGTCCTTCAACAGGTAACAAAGTTTTAGTTAAAGCTTATTTTGCATATGGCGTAATACTGCCTTATCTTACTGAATTATTGACATACACTTTAATGTTGCAGACAAAAGACAGTTATGAAATCGAAAATAAAATTAATTGTGGTCAAGCCGAAGAATTAATTATACAAGCGGAAAATGAGTTGAATTTAGCTCGAAAAATGTTGAATTGGAAGCCATGGGAACCTCTTGTTGCCAAACCTCCTAAGGGCCAATGGGATTGGCCACCATCTAAAGCCTAATTTTAACTAGGAATACAATTAGTTTTCATTTAAAAAGCATTAATCGGTAAATAGTTGAGTGTTAATATAGTTAAACAACTAATCTCTGGTCAGAGCCTAGTTGTATTATGTTATTTAATATCTTTCCCAACTAACATTCTAGGTCCTTGATTGAAAAATATTGTTAGAATAAAACCATCCTGTAGAAGTCTATTAGTATTTTTTTTAACCATTGACTTTAGGAATCTCATGACCTTAAGCTTTATCTCTCTCTATATATAAAATTCTCATGTCACAATGTTCGTTCCCATACTTCTGCAAAACGGCTCAACCGATTTTTATGAATTTTTTTATGCTTTATTATACAGTAAACAAAAATACATACAACCCCCTTAAGTTTCATCTTCTCTCTACGATCAACCCCTATTTTTTATTTGTTAGTTAAGAACTTAAAACATTAACTATATCTGAGGTAAAGAAAAATCACAGAAAAACCTAAAAAGTTTTCATTCTGGAACACCAAACAGTCTGGGGTAGCATAGCAAAATGTTCCATGGTATATACATAAAATGTAGGCTAGGCATTAAGGAGAAACAAAGTTCTTGGGGGCAGCTAGTTTTAATATAAAAAAAAGGGTGCATGTACTTATGTACGCGTGAAAAGTTATACTTCTTTGGCATTATTAAAAATAGTTTGGCTTTGTTCCACCTCCAGTTTTTGATGTTTCACAGCGATAAGATGACAACTCTTTTTAGTATTCAATTTAGTCACTTACACTGATTCATCAATTGTTTTTTGTCTCTTGTCCTTATATTTGCTAGAGAAAAATTACATGTTTTGATTAAACAATGTGGTAATTTTTTTAATCAAAACATTACTCGATAATAATAATACAAACTATAGTTAACCTCAATTGTAATGAAGCACTTAGGAAGGTTGATGAGCACAGTTTTTTCACAAATATTAATTAGTATTGGTTTAAATATTCAATTTAAATCACTTCTGATTATATATAATTCAAAAAGCATTGCTAAATTTCTTTGAAAAAATAATTAAAACTCCTTTATTTGTTTAAAAGGTAAATGACAAATGTCATTATGGTCATTCAAAATTGTTGGCATACGAACTTCACGCATATTCTATTTCTTTTTACTTGTAGATTGTCTTATTGCTATCTCGCTCGCGCACGCTATAATCACACTCCTAATTTTGTGTCACAGGTGCGCACGCATCGTAAAATTTCACTCTCATAAATTTTTCATAACGCGCCTAAAGAAGTATAACTTCAAAAATATTAAAATTCTGCACTGTGTGTCACAAGAAACACTTTATTAATGTTGAATAGTAGTCTTCATTGTATAAAGTTTAAGCACTTAATTTTTTTAATAATTGTCCATGAATATTTTGACATTTCTGCAGAATATGGTCAGTTTTTGTATGATATGATATAATAAATAAATTGTGTAATAGATTTATAAATTTTGATAACATATATTTTTGATAGTTGATACAAACTGCAAGGTTTATTTATCTACATTACTGTTACAATTATATGCATCATATCTTAAAGAAAGCTGTTAGCGAATTTAATCAGTAGGATAATTAAAAGGCTCATAATGTAGGTCAGTGGAAGTAAACAATAAGGAGAAAGATTTGTTTTAATCTAAAAGAAGATAAAAATTTATTACACAGCATATCAAATGGTAATTGCAACATATTAGCAGGAAGAGTGTGACAGTCACTTTTTCAGTAAGTATTTACTAACATTTTGTAAACAAAAGATTAAAAATGTATTTTTACATAAATTGTCATATCAAAACCTTAGTTTCATAAAGTTTAAACTGATACTTATTTATTTTTACAAAAAAAAAACATGTTACACATAAGTTGGTATTGAGGGGTTTAAACATTGTGAAAATCTTATATATTTCTTGTTATCATTATATTTTTCACTAGTCTTTGGTGATACAAGAGTTGAAATTGTGTTATAAATTATTAAATATTTAAGAGAAACACAGCTTCAACTTGGCACACATCAATCCATTTTAAATACAAATTATATATTGTTTTAATACTTATTACTATTCTCAACAGACACAAACAAACTTATAAAAAGCATTTCTCACCAGTTATGCCAATTATATTATATTTATTTTAAATTGGAATCATGGTAACCTGTATCTGTTACTTATGATCAGCAGCTATCATAAAGATTAGGTGACTGTAATAGTATACCAACTCAAAAAAAAATCATAAGAAAATTCTTTGTTATAAACAATATTTGAGAAATAGTTTATTTAGTAAAATAATACAATATTACAGACATCTAATCTGAAATAATTTAATATTTTCCTAATTATTATATTACAAAATTAAATAACTAAACTTATTTAAAAAATAAATAACACCATAATATCTCTTGTTCTAGGATTATCAATTTAGTTATGTTGAAGTCACACCTTTTCTTGCCACTAAAAGGTTTAATACTGGATGTTTTTTTATATAACTAACTGCTTTTTTATGAGTTACCATTGTAAAGTCATACCCATTACATTGTAGAATTTTATCATGCATACGCAAACCGGCTTTAGCAGCTGGGCTTCCTTCGTGCACTTCAGTTACATATATGCCCTAAAAATAGATTATGATAAATTGTAATTTCTGTTTTAAAAGTATTGTTCTAATTACCTAAACAGAACTCACATTATCCGTATACCCCTGAGGACTCTTACGATAGTCTTGATCTATACCACCACCAATTTTAAATCCACATTTCATAACTTCACGACCTTCAGCATCAACACCGGCCTCTTTTTGTAAAGTTATTGGAATCTGTTAAAAAATAATAGTAGTCGCATTAAGTATAAAAAACATTAGAATTACCAGTTTACCAGGTAAAAACAAGGGAGTGGTCTTGCAAACTCACACTAAGACATTCCATTGCCGTTCCGGCTTGATGTTGAAATGCCATTTTAGCCATGATTAATTAATTAATTTATATCTCCGTGAAAGTAATATGAAATATCGTTAAAATTTATAGTTTGTAATCAAAAATTGTATAAAATCACAAATGACTCAAACGAGGACTCAAAATTCGACACAACCACTATCAAAGACTATAATAGTAAATACATCGAACTCCACAGATATACTCATAACTACAATATAAATCACAGTATATAAAATATACTGCTATGTGGGGCTTGACACAAAAACACTTCGACACGCGTCACCCACTAACGACCGGCCTCAAGAAATCGTGGTTTTTAAAATTAGTTAACTGCGGAAAAAGGTGTATTAAATAGAACTTTAAGAACCAATAACTACGTTTTCTAGAAACAGAAAAGACATTCAGTGGTTGTTCCGTTCCGGTTATTGAGTGTCTACCCTGCCATCAAGATACGTAAGGTCGACAAATAAGGAAAACTGTAGTTATGCAGCATGTAATATAGATCATTACATTCGACTACAACCACTCTGGCAAGACAAAGAGCGATTGACTATTATAAAAAAATCATTAAGTTCGTTCTTCAATTTAGATATTTCAAAAATGTTAATAGAATTAAGTATATATTTCTTCATTAAATGAAAGACTAGTAAATCAATTTTAAAATTTATCTAACCATAAGACAGAAAATATCAGAAAAATCATTTGAAATTAAAAAAAGCAAAATAAAGATCTAGGCAAAGCTACTGATTATCACAACAAACGAAAAAAATCATCAGAAGTTATTAGTTCTTTGAATAAAAGCTTTGTTCATCCATATTATCACTGATAAGTTCTTTGTGTACTGTGACTCAATAATGACACTATCGACTGATATATATGATCGCAGAGTGAGCTCACTCTGTCTTTTGTTACATTGTATTTCTAATTTCCAAAAAATAGTGTGGGTACTTACACGTACACCCGTTAGAAGTTATTCTTCTTTGACGTTGTAACAAGATAAAAATCTTTTCAAAAATTTTATTCTACGTTTGTAGAAAAAATTACACTAACAATAGAAAAAACTAAAATGTTGACTATAGCTAACTTCAGGGTGTCGGTTTTTTTTGTGACTGTGTGCGCGCGCATCTTAAAAAATTACTCTTACCATTTTTTTCCTTACGCGCCAAAAGAAGTATAACTTCAAAAATTAGTACTGTAAGGATAGTGTATTTAGTTTTGTGAATAAATAAACAATAAAATCACAATATATAACCACGCTTTGAATTTAAGTAAATACAACATGCCAACTTTCTTTAAAAGCATCTAAACTACATACAACAGAACCTATATATCGGAATTAACATGTAAAAGAAAGATGAATAGGTATTTTAGAATTGGAAACAGAACCAGGAACCGTACTGATGAGAGGAACCAAAATAAAGAAGCAGACATAAATTTGTACCGGTATTCAATCAGTGATGCAATAATTATAGTTAATTTAGCGCCGCCAGAGCATTTATTTTTATTTTTCGGGCTTTACTTTCTGGAAACATTAAGTAAAACGAATTGATATTATGTAACTATAAATGTCTCTGCCTAAATTTAGGTAATTCATATTAGTCCGACCAAAGCATGCCTACTCTGTATCTTTAATTCACCACCCCTTGAAGCTTGAACCCAACAGTTTGATTTCCATACATATTATTTCTTACATATCATGTAAAAGTTTTTTATTTTATTAATTACTTTTCAAAATATTAACGTTGGCATTAGAGCATTTTTTAAATTGTATTTAAAAAAAACTAATATCCACTCTATGATTTATTTTTATCACCAACACAAGGATGGTGTTAGAAAATAAAATACCGATAGTTCCCTTCTTTTGCTATTTTAGCGCGAATTTTATGATAGGTTTTGTTCTCAGGCTTCTAGTTTTTCTTTTCTACTAGTCTGGCTAATGAAAGAAGATAATTGAATTATTTGAAAACTTTCTCAATATGGTTGTTGTCAAACATTCGTTTTGGTTTATTTTAATCTTATTTATTCATTTACGTGTTTAAATATGAGTAAAACTATTAAAAGTGGAGTTCGAGAGATATTGTTCTGCATGATATCCAAATTCCAAGAAAAACAAGAAGAAAAAGAAGCTGAATTCTACCAAAAACAAGATTGTTTACGTGTGGTGTTGAATTTCTTTGGTTAGTATGATTTATTGTCTTGATACTTCATGCAATTACTCATTTTTATTTCTATTATATATTTTTTTTCCGAATAGTTAACAGGTATAATAGCCTAAACTTTGTTTTATTTGATAGAATATTTCGTTTCTTTCGCAGGAAATCAGGAGGATGTAGGAGTCGATGCAATAGTGAGAACTATTGGTAAGCTCACTGATTTAGAGCAGAAAGATAGAGAATAAAATCCCAGAACCAGTACTTTAAAGAAATCGCTTCCGTCACTGGTAAAATTTTCAATACTTTTCAAGTAAATTTGAAAAAATAATGTGTGTGGTAATAACCTTTTCATTGTTTTTTTCCTGGTGTAAGTGTAATATCAATACACAGAATAAATAAAGAAGGGGCAACAAATCAAGGTGTCTGGAGTAAACCAGGAAAAAACGACCTCATAAACCAACATTTGGCCAATTTTGACATGGATGGTATTCGCAACAAAATTCATGAATTTTATTTTGTTAGAAAACAAGTTCCAACATTGAGATCACTTATGCTGGAATTAAGAGAAAGCATAGGATTTACTCATGTACAAACACAACATAGATAAACTTAACAAAAATGAATCATCACATCTTCCAAGACAGCCGAGTCACCGAGGAAGATTACGACCAAAACCTTCCAGCAACACCATTAAAAACCAACTCATCAACCGAAGAAAACAATCTAATTAACCAGCTCTACATAACCACGTACAATGTTAGAACACTCTCCTCATACGAACGTCTAATAGAACTTACCGAAGCTTTTAAAAACGTAAAATACGATATCATCGGATTATGCGAAGTTCGTCGCCTCGGAAGCAAGATAACAGAGTACGAAAACTTTATAGGAAAACGCTGCAGAGGGCGACCTCTCGCACGCTGGGAAGAAGATATTAAAAAAATAGCTGGCCCCAAATGGCAGCACATAGCGCAAAATAGAGAAAACTGGCAAAAGCTGGAAGAGGCCTTCACCTGAAGAGGGGTTCCTATACAATAATTTAGAATATCAAAAACTGTAAATAATAATACTTAGCATGATAGAAATATAGTCATAATATTTATTCATTTACTAATAGATTTTGTTAAGTTTTGCAAAGGTTTAGAAAACCACATAAAGAAATGTACCTTATTAATTAACTATATTGGGAAATAAAAGGCTTTTTATTTTTTTTATTTATTATTATAGGATTTACTGGATGTCGGCAAACTCTTCGCCGAATATTATTGGCTAATGGCAATGAATTTAAGAAAAACAAAAATGATCGTTCTTTGTTAATTGAGCGCAATAACATATCTGCCTGGAGACATTACTATTTAAGATCTATATCGTTGAAACGTGCAGAAAGAAAGCCAATTATTTATTTAGATGAAACATGTCCATAAAAACTACAAGCACAAAAAATCGTGGCAAGGTCCCTCTACAAGTGGTGCTATTGAAAATATTTCACCTGGTTAAAGGTAGGTACATAATTGTACCTACCTTGCAGGGTCGGAGAAAGGTCCTGTGCCGAACTCATTATTAGTATTTAGCACTTAATCAAAAATGGCTGATTATCACCATGATATGAATGCTGCCAACTTCAATAAGTGGTTAGAAGAAAAGCTCCAACCCAATTTAAATTAGCCAAGTGCAATTATTATGGACAACGCCAGTTATAGTAGGAGAGCTGGCACCAATTTTTGGGTAGGTATTTGAGGCAAGCTGAAAACTTGTCACATACCTCTCCTATTATATTCCAACACGGAATTGCAGACCTAGCTGGTGAGTAGCGGGGCTAAATCAACCCCTACATTTTTTAAAATATTAAATTTTTTTCCCCAAAAAATATTTGAGGCAATACGCAATTTATATATGTTGCAGTGTAATACTTAATAAATACGAAAAAGAAAATAAGCCAGACAATTTAATCGGGTTTGTAACATTAGGTACCAGACGCGTGCAAAAAATTTTGGAAAAAATTATAAAAAAAGTTTTTCAGGCAGCTTGAAATTTTGATGGAGTGTTATTTATAACTATAAAATAAGATTCCCAAAAAGACAGATCATTTCGGTAGGGTTTTGTACCTGCCAGGTGATCAAACAAATAATGGATGGGTACGGGCCTGTACTACTATAGACAAGCTGTAGTGTGAGAGAGAGCGCATATCGACAGCTGTCTTCGTTCTTGCTTGCCGCGTTACTATTGGCTATAGCGAGGCCACGTGACTTACAATAACCCATGAGGTTTCTAGTTAGAATTTCGGAGTAAAAAATATAAAATTTTCTGAATTTGTACTAAATACATTTTGCATAAAAGTGATTGTATTGATTTATGGACGTTAAAGGGACATATTTTTGTGATTTCTTTTTTATCTTAAAAAATTAGTTATTTTGCCAATTTTAATGCGAATTTAAACGTAATGAATTGTTTAAATATTTGATATTTCCGTAAAAATATTTAGTTTTTGAAGAGAATTAATTTTTTGAATTTCATTAGGCCAAAAAAACATGAAATAGATATGTTCTTCATTCATTGGGAAAAAATAAACTATTAAAAATTATTAATTTTATGCCTATCACAAGAAATTTATTTTTACTTAAGCAAGAAGTAACTTTAGTTATATTATATGAAATAAAAGTAAGTTGAAAAATTCTATTTTAAAATAACTTCCAACAGTTTTTGAGTGACCCTTAGAATACGAGCAGGTAGTTTTTATGTATGTATAGATGTCAGAGTTTTGTATTGAACTATACAGGTAAAAGATAGAATAATGATAAAAGTATACTGAACATTTTATTATGTCAGTAAGAAAACTGATAAACTTAGTGCTGTATATGCTTAATTTTATTTATCAGT